TTTATCTATGTTTATGTTTTATCTTGTTAAAAATACAAATATTGATATAATTTTCAGAGAAATAAAATTTTATGCATTTACATTGATTTACTGATCTTTTTTAAAATAAAAGGTTAAATGTGATAGTAAGATATGATGGTTAAACAAGAAATTTTAATAATTAGAATTAAGAGATGATCTAAGGCATTTTCAAAATTTTCAATAATTTTCAAATTTTATTATGAAATTTAAAGAAATTTTCAGGATTTGAAAGATATATTTATAAATTTTCGTAAGTTTATTGTGATAAAAATAAACATAGAAAACAAAAATGGTAAAAAGAAGAGGGTAGACTCTCAAGTGGGTGAACTCAAACGGAGAAGAACGATGAGCTGGTGCTCTAGTGGCTGACCCATGGACACGTACGTCAACGCCCTTCCATGTCACAGGAAGGGAACCCGTGCGTGGGCCGATGTATGATTTCATCACACGGTGTGTTGTCTGGGGTCGGACCACTTGTATACCCTTCTCTGGTGATCCCATCGAAGCTGAATTTTAATTAATTAAATAAACAGCACACTGGGACCGCCGTTTCCCCGTGGATGATGGTAGGAAGCTCTTCAAAATAATGGCGGGAGGTTCTCTGTAAGACCCGATCACAATCATAAAGGTGCCATTGGTAAGGACTGCCGGCTCTGAAAACCCTAGAAGACGAGTTTTGCCCAGGCTGAAGCTGAAGGTATTTTTCTCCAGTCGTACCTAGATCGGCACGTGCGAGGCGGACGAACAGGTCCTGCCCGCCATCGGCCTCGCGAGCGCGCCACTCCACAGTATGCAGAGGCTCCGGCCGCCGTCAATCTCCGCAATGGCGTAGGCCGTGCAGGAGCAATTCCTCAGGCACGCCTCCCCACATTCCTCCGTGCCCATATTCTCGTTCACCACCACCACCACCACCGAGGAATCGGGAAGCTTCGCGTTAGGCACCAAGACGAACCCGTCAATGCGATTTTCTCACTCCACCGGTTTTAGTTATTGCAAATGACATTACCGTTGGCTACTAGATACCTCGAGGATAAGGGAAGGGAAGTGAGAGGTAGAAGAGAGGTGAGGGGACTCGGGCCTTTTGAATGACCGGACGTTCCAGACGCAGCTTCCTTTCTTCTTGTCTCCAGGAAAGAGACTCTCTCTCCCTAAAACCGCTTAGATTCCACGTTCTCCTTTGCTGCGCTTTCGATCATGTGGTTGGCATGGGCATGATGTTGAGGTATCCGAACTCCATGAAGTTATTGTCGACTCCCCCATATGATTGTGCTGCAGGGATGCCATAGATGCTGGTGATGGTTTGATTACACTGTTGATGGGCAATGGAGATCTTGTTTTTTGCGGTAAGATTTGGCTCTTAACTTGAGGATCCATTAGTGTTACCTTTCACGACGGCCATACCTACCCGTTTCTTCTCCACCGTCATCAGTGATACGTGATGCATCTCTTTGATATCTGGGTCTACCCTCTGCTCGCTGTACTGTCTCTTGCGCTCGAAACCGAGTGTGTAAGTTGGCACGAAGAAATTTCAAATAATTGAAGACAAAAACCTGAAGTCATGGCTGAAAACCGTTTCCCAGGAAAAGCCCAGCCTTGCCTAGCCTTGTTCTCAATCCGGTGGTGGGAGCCTTGTGAGTTACATGTCTCCAGATTACGCCATGGAAGGGCTTTTTGTCTGTTAAGTCCGATCTCTACCGCTTCAACGATCTGGGTGCTAGAGATCATCAGCGTCAAGCAGAATAACAGCTTCTCCCCCGAGAAGTCCCTCAACTTTGTTGGACAGGTGAGTAACCTTCAAAAATCTCATTATACCATATGCAAAATATGTGCAATAATCTGATTCGTTTGACAACATACTGATGGAGATTAGAAAACCTTAAGTAGAGTCAAGTTGATCAGGACTGAAATGGATTGTCGTTTGTGGGTTTTAGGAAAGAGGTGAGACATGCAATAAGCCGATTCCATTCCTTTTGGAGACTGATTGACTTTTGAGATACATGCCATAGTCACGTAGATCAAAGTTGAATTTGAAGCTCATTGCAGGGCGGGAATTGGGAGATTAAATTTGAAGTGTGCCAGTGGCCGTTGCATCTGAACGTTGCGTAGCCCAATTTATGCCCATATAATCGGTCGCCTATCTGGAATTAGTATATATGGTCAAAAGAGAATCAAAATACGAAAATTTATTAGAATTCGAATTCACACCTCCCTGTTGCGTGCATTCACTACCCACCAGGGAACCAAAACCGTTTAGCTGTGATTCAGTAGCGGCAAGTATTCCGGGGCAGATTTTGACTTTGCCAACTCTACTCTCCTTTGCGTTCTGATGTCATCAACGAGACCGCCTGGTTTCACATTTAAAATAGCTTGTTGGTAAAGAATTTATCCGCAGTTGCTGGTTACGTCCGTTTTATTTTGTATGCCCTCAATCAGAAAGGACCCAATGAGATTGAAAAGAAAAGTTTTCGCCATAAGCCGCCTTGTCCCTTGCGGTAAAGAACAATCAATTCACAGGCTATACACAATCTCATCAAACTGATGGTTGACGCCGTAGATAATATAAAGCCAATATGCGAAGTGGAAAAAGTCAAAATCCCAGGTACTCTTTATAATTTCGATTTTTCACTGATTTAAATAAGAAATTAAAAAATTCACCATCAGTTCCTCGAATAAATTTCCGCCTAAAACGGAAATCCTGACCGGAAACCAAAAGGTTTAGCATTAAAGCTCATCGACTGTGGAAGGCGGAGAGGGTGACGTCGTTGACAGTGAAAGTGAGCCCTTTACTCGAAGTGGAGCCCTCGGAGCGCTACCTCGCCACCACAAACTCCGGCTGCTTGGGGTGCGGGATCGTCGCACTGTCGCCGCTGAGCATGAGAACCACTGATGCCATCTCCGGCCGGTCCTCCAGCCGGTCCTGCACGCAGAGGAGGGCGATCTTTATGCACATGAGCACCTCCGCAATGGGGATGGGGTACCCCAGCGAGGAGTCCACCGCCTCCTGCTCGTTGTCTTCCTTCCACAGAGTCCATGCCTCTGAAGGGCACCCACACATGGCGAGGAGCTCAGGAGATCAGGAGCTCCCGTCCATGGCGTACTCGGGCGACATGTACCCGCTGTAGCAAGGAGATCAGGAGCTTCTGGTACGGTTGATCATTGAAGATCGAAACGCAAAGGAGGAAGCGAGAGAGAAAAAGAGGGAGGAAGAAGGAATATTGCACTATAGAGGGATATAGAAGAGAAAGAGCTGGAAGGATGGCATAGACAGAAGGGGAGAGATATATATATAGAGACAGTGAGAGGAGACTAACTAGGTGCCGACGACCCTTCGAGTGATGCCCTCAGTCTCGTCGCCGGCAAAGATCCGGGCCATGCCAAAGTCGGATATCTTGGGGTTCATGCAGTCATCGTTGGAATATCCTGAAGCGCGAGTCTTGGTGGAAATAGAGCAGCCCGCGCGCAACACCCTCTATTATCCGCCACCGCGTCGCCCAATCCAGCAGCGCCGCCTTAGTCTTGTCTGCCACAATACGAGGCTTCCCTCCGATCACAGAGAGAGAAAGACACGGAGGGAGAGAGAGACGTGTAAAGGGAAGCGGAGAAACATAGACAGATAGCAACACAGTGGATACAAATGCAGACAAGGGAGCGAGGGAGAAGGACGGAGGGAGAGGTAAAGGAATTGCTAGGTGACAAGACAAGAGGTAAATATATACTCAGAGGGGGAATGGGGGAGATAAGGGGAGAGAGTGTGAAAAGGAAGTAGAGGGATAGAGACTAACCGAAAAGGAAGGAGTCTAGACTTCCGTTCGGCATGTACTCGTAGACGAGCATCCTCTCCTCGCCGTCGATGCAGCACTCGAGGAGGCGGACGAGGTTCCGGTGCTGGAGCTTCACTATTAGCCTCACCACGTTCATGAACTGTTCCACGACCTGTGAGGAGCTCTTCGCCATCCTCTTAACTGCCACCTCCTGCTTCCCTTCGAGCCAGCCCTGCTGGTCAAGAAATAAAAAAAATCATAAGACCGAATATTTAAGTTCAACGATTGATTAATCAATCGAAGAGGCGAATTGGTTGACCTTGTAAACGGGCCCGAAGCCGCCCTTTCCGAGCAGATTATCGGTGGAGATGTGGTCGGTGGCGGCGGCGATGGCAGCGAGGTCAAACAAGAGAAGACCCAGCTCCCTTGACCGGGCCAGCTCCTCGTTCCACCTCTGACTCTTCACGCTGGGGTAGTTTCTGCGCATCACTGTAGATCAATGCCTTCCGTCTGACTTGCTTTCCTTCATGTTGCTCCTCGCTTAGGAGGACGACAATCGATCTTCCCCCTCCTTGTCTGGCTGCTTGGAGGATAACAGGAACAAAACATCCATTGGGATGGGTCAAACGCAACCAACGCTGGTCTCATGCGGCCCATCTTCCATCCCACAACCAAGATAGGCAACCGCCGGATGCCACGTGGCAAAGTGACTTTATCTCTCGCCTCGTGGGGCCCTCTCAGTAATACGTTGGAAACGCATCATAAAATATTTAAAACGCATTTTCACAGTTCTCTAGTAGTTTTTTGAACCACTTAAATTCCTTTTTCCCGCCATTTTCAGAGACCGCGCAAGCCGTAGAAATTAACAGTTGAGGGAAGTTGGGCGGAAAAATTGAGATATCTTGGGTGGGGAGTGGTCGACTTTCCCTCCTGTTGGCTACATTTCGGCGGCGGCCAGTATTGCAGGCAGGTTTTTCCTTCCCGGAGTCGGCGCTATTGCGCTTTATAACGTCATCACCCGAGTCCTCTTAGACTCGCATTTTAAGTTGTTGGCCAATAATTTTTGACTGGTTGCTGGTAATTTCGGTTTTCTCTGGCGTTGCGTCAGCAACTTTAAGATTTCACTGATTTAAAAATTAATTAATTAATTTACAGATTCAGTTTCCCCATTACGTTTCCCGCTAAAATGAAAACCCTAATTTCTTTGGCGTCGGAAGCTCAGCGGCCGCGCATGTCCGAAACGGTGATGTCGTTGAAGGTGCGGGTGAGTCCCCTGCTCGACGTCGAGGACCCCTCGGCGCGCTCTCGCGCCGCTACGAACTCCGGCTTCTTGGGGTGCGGCAGCCCCCCGCTGTCGCCGCCGAGCATGAGAACCACCGCCGCCATCTCCGGCCGGTCCTCCGGGCGGTCCTGCACGCAGAGTAGGCCGATCTGTATGCACTTGAGAACCTCTACCATGGGGATGGGGTACCCCAGAGAGGAGTCCACCAGCTCCAGCCCTTTACCTTCCTTCCAAAGATCCCATGCCTGCGCAGGACACCCATGATGAGATTAAAACATGTCGTTAAGCTCCTCCATGGCTGGTCGGTAGTTTCGCTCTATACTTACGTTGCCCAGGAGATTGAGCTTGCGAACGGGGTGCAAGATTCCCCTGTTTCTCCTGCCGCTGATGATCTCCAGCACGAGGACCCCGAAGCTGAAGACGTCAGACTTCACTGAGAAGCTCCCGTCCATGGCGTACTCCGGCGACATGTACCCGCTGTAACAAGGAGATCAGCTGCTGCTGGATATGGTTGACCATTGAAGATCGAAACGGAGAGCGAAGGAAAAGGAAGCAGAGAGAGAGAGAGAGAGAGAGAGAGAGACCTCACTAATAGTGGGATATTGATAGACAGATAGAGAGAGAGACAGGGCGAGGGAGACTAGATGGCTACTGGGAGATAACCATGAGAGAGACAGACAGATAGAGACAGATAGACCGAGGCCGATTGAAAGAGAAAGAGATAGAGGAAGAAGACTAACTAGGTGCCGACCACCCTTCGAGTGATGCCCTCGGTCTCGTCGCCGGCGAAGATCCGGGCCATGCCGAAGTCAGAGATCTTGGGGTTCATGTCATCATCGAGGAGGACGTTGCCGGCCTTGAGATCCCGGTGGATAATCCTGAAGCGCGAGTCCTGGTGAAGGTAGAGTAGACCCCGCGCAACCCCCGTAATTATCCGCCACCGCGTTGCCCAGTCCAGAAGTACCCCCTTTGTGTTGCCTGCCCCAATTTAGGTCTCCCATCAGAGAAACAGCGAGAGGACGAGAGAGCGAGAGAGCGGGAGACAGAGAGAGGGTAGTAGATACCTTGGCTGAAAGAAAAGAAGAGAGATACTGACCAGAGAGAGAGAGAGAGAGAAGAAGGTGATAGAGTGATATGGAGATAGACAGCGAGACAGAGGATAAATATATACAGAGAAGGGGAGAGAGTGAGAGAGGGAAGGAGGGAGAGGTGAATGGATAGATACATGAGCAAACAAGAGATAAAGATGTACGTAGGAGGAAAGGGGGGGCACGGAGAGGGAGAGCGAAGGAAGTAAAGGGAGAGAGACTCACCGAAAAGGAAGGAGTCTAGGCCTCTGTTGGGCATGTACTCGTAGATGAGCAACCTCTCCTCGCCGTCTATGCAGCACCCGAGGAGGCGGACGAGGTTTCGGTGCTGGAGCTTCGCTATCAGCCTCACCTCGTTCATAAACTGTTCAACGCCCTGCGAGGAGCTCTTCGCCAGTCTCTTCACCGCCACCTCCTGCTTCCCTTCCAACCTTCCCTGCAGCTCCAGAATTCACAAATTAGAAGACCGAATCTTCAAGTTCAACGAGGGATTATGCAGTCGAAGAGGCAAGTTTGTTGACCTTGTAAACGGGCCCAAAGCCGCCCTCGCCGAGCAGATTGTCCGTAGAAAAGTGGTTGGTGGCCGCGACGATGGCGGCGAGATCGAACAGGGGGAGATCCAGCTCCCTCGACTTGGCCATCTCCTCGTTCTGCCTCTTCACTATAGGGCAGCTTCCGAGCACCACTGTAAAATGCAACGGGACTGTGACTATTTAGCTATGTCCAGAGGGAGATAGGGAGGGAGACGGAGAGGGAGAGAGAGATAGAGAGAGAGAGAGAGAGAGAGAGAGAGAGAGAGATGCGCACACTAATGCCAAAGAGAGACACAGGAAGATGGAGAATGAAAGGCGCAAAGAGGGGGGGAGAGACGGAGAGGGATCTGAGAAAACGATTCTCATACCTGTATTATTACACTTCCTTCGCCGCCAGACAAACCCGGCGACGAACCCAAGCAGAAGTATTCCCACCAGGACCGCCACCGCCGCTGACACCGCCGTCACCACCCGTCTTCTGCTCGCCTCACCCGGCGACAAACCTGCACAGAGAATCAAAGCTCTATCCGAATTAATTAAATAAACAGCGGGCGTGGACTTCCGTTTAGCCCCGATGATGACCGTAGGAAACTCATCGAAATAAATGCAGGTGGTTGTTGATAAGTCCCCATCCCCATCAGACCTATTTTCTTGGTTTTACGAGTAGTCAGAATCCCCGGCTCTGAAAACCCTAGAAGACGAGTTCCACTCAAGCTGAAGGCAGTTTTCTCCGGTCGTACCTATATCGGCACGCGCGAGACGCACAAACAGGTCTTGCCCGCCATTGTCGTAGACCCGGAGGTCCGTCAACGCACCACTCCACAGCATGCAACCGCTCCTGCCGCCGTCAAGGATCTCCTTAATGGCGTAGGCCGTGCAGGAGCAATTCCTCAGGCACCCCTCCCTGCACTCCTCCCTCCCCATCTCGTTCACCACCACCATTGTGGTGTCAGGAAGCTTCGCGTTAGCCACCAAGACGAACCCGTCGGTGCCATTTTGGCAGTCCACCGCCGTCCTCCGCCTGCAACCGTCCTTCCAGTCCATCAGATTCCAGTTCTCCGGTGATTTTGGATCAAAACCTTGGAGACAATTACACAGCGGAGACTCGTTGGCGTCGCAGATGCCGAAGATGCCGCAGAAGCGAAAGCCTTCGCAGCGGTCAGTGGGCCCCGACCAGAAGACGCTCCACTCGCCCTCGCCCTCGCCCTCGCTCTCTATCCAAACCAGCCGTTGTATCAGACCTTTGGACTGCACCACTAACCTTGAGAGGACGGACTTATTCCGGTTGCTGAATTGGTAGTACGCTTCATCGGCGTTTGAGACGAATAAGAGCTTGAACATGCTGTAACTCCTCATATCTGGGACGCCGCTGAATCTTTCTCCAACCCACGGCCCCGACCTCCACACCCGCTTGGTGCCCTCTAGTAAGAAGATCTGTGGATCCCCATCAGGGTCCAAGAAGAAGGTGTAGTCCCCCGCGCCAGGTTCGTCATCGGACTTCCATGAAGTTAAGTTTTTTGTCAACCCGGTCCGGCGATCGACCCACAACTTCATCCCGGGAAGGAGGGTGTTCGTGGGGTGGTCAAAGCTCTGCCAGGCGTACTCACCTCCGCCGGCGCCAGCCACGACGAAGTTGGCGTCGTCCAGAAGCTTGGCTACTGGCCCGGCAGCTCTCGTCGAAGGCGTCGACCAGTAGACCACCCCCTTTGAGTCGAAGAGGGAGAGGCTGCCGTTGATGGAGATGGATAGGATGCCCGTTCTGTTCGGCAGGGGACTGTCACGGTTGGCCACCCAGACCACCGTCTGGACGGAGATCTGGTTGAACCAGATACCCAGATACCTGAAATTCGACTTCCCCGGCGTGAAGAATCCCAGCTTGAAGCTTCCATCGGAGGATACTAATGAACTGCCGTCTTCCAAGCGATCGCCGGGAACGAAGGTGTCGCCGGCGGCGGAGAGGGCGATGAGGGTGGGGATGAGGGCGGCGAAGACCAAAGACTCCCGTCTGCGTTGCCTTCCCACCATGGTTCTTCCCGTTCGGGAGGAAGGGCTGTGGGTCCTTCCACTTCCCCTCCCCCTCAGACCGCTTGGAGGATAAGAAGAGAGGTCTCATCAGGCCCATCTTACACGGCGATCGCGGTAGCCACAATTGCCGGGTGCGACGTGGCAACTGATTTTCTCCGCCTACCAACCCTAATGGGGCCCCTATCGGTATTCCAATTTCTAAAGAACACGGGTTGAATATGTACAACGTTGTCTGGGTCGTCATTGTTGGGGCTTAATCGACGAAGACCAGACTCGAGACCGACGAGTCAGACATTTGCGTTCATATCTATACCTTGACCTCTCCTCTTATCTCTCCACTCAATTACGTAGCCGTTCATCTACTGTCCTCATGGTGTGGCACGTCATATGTGTTAGGTGTATGCTGGCATGGCCCCGACTTACCACAACACATGTAGAGTGCATGAGGATTAGACGATTCTGATCAAGTTCAGAAGAGCGTCTCATGAACCTCATAAGCTACTAGCATGAGTGATGACACAATTGAGTGGACGACTGAATAGTTGCATCAACTGACCAAAAGTGTCTCATAGCAGCCTCGGTTTGTTATAGGGTGTAATGGATGAGATGCGAATGATTTGAGTGAAATCATGAGATATAAGCGAAGGTACCTAATCTGATTCCTCGTATCCGACATGAACAGAGGGAAGAAATGGAATCACGTAATCTAACTCTAACTGTAATCTAACCGTAACTTCCGACTGAATTCTAACCTAAGATGAACCGGAATTCCAATCACCCTGAGACTAACCTGGTATCACTGCTCCTTCCCTATTTCCACAGGAAGAGGCGTTCACTTAAAGCAGCAGGAGAGACCTCGTTCAGGCAAGATGAACTTCAAATCTTGTCACGACACACCTACACTCGTGCAATGCGGAGCTCTAGAAAGCATCTCCTTTCTGGGTTGATTCGAGAATCACAGTGTTTCATACAATGAAGACTGTTCGTAACATTCTTTTCCCTCAAATGTATAGGGTGATGCCCCACCTTCTCCCCTCTCACTTGTGCGAGAGAAACCGCTAGAAGTTCCAGTGACTTCGCGCCTTCAGCAAGGATACCTGCTGATAGATTGGTGGATTTTTCCTCGCCTGTATCCCGCCAATGGATGGGTGGTCTCCCCATCCAATTGCCCCAAACCGTTGGATTGGTGAGTCCTTTTAAAGTGCTTTCTTTTCTTAGCAGTCGGATGTCTCTCCCGCCACAGGAGCAGCCTCCTAACTGTTGCAAGCAACGGTCAGATGGCTGCATCCCAGCCGTTGATGAGATGCACTTGACTTGTTTCATAAATCACTAAAAAAAATCCTGGAGGGTAATTAAATAAATCCCAAAAATATACTCAATGCCTATGATGATCCTGTTTAATATGGCATCAAATTATGTGAGAATAATAATCCAACAAAATTACAAAAAAAATGTCTGAAATGTTAGTGTACCTCAAGACATGTTACAATCATGCATCTGTGGTGATTAGCTGCTGAACAAAGTTCGAAATACTAAATTTTAATTTATTAATGTATGTTTTTTAACTCATTATTCATGTGTTATCACTTAGGGAGAGAGAAAAAGAGAGAGAAATTAAGGGCATGTGAAACCCTTTCTCCCCGACTGTTGGAAATAGGATTCTGGCTTCTCCTCCTCTCCCCATCTGGTGGTTGATATCAATGCTTCATTAACTCAATACATTGATGTACCTTGTTCCTCTATTAATATTGAATATTATTCCTTCTCTTTTGTTTAGTGGTCATGAGGTGTCCTTATCCTCTTTAGACCACATTAATCTTGTATTGGCTTATTAGCATACTATACCTTTTTGTATCATCTATCATCTGGTGGATATTATGTCATCTGCACCCTTACTTCTATTGTTGTATCAGATCATTCTCAACCCCATTAAGCCCTAAATATTGTCGCATCCTCCAACAAATTGGCATTAGAGCATTGTTAGGCTTCTGACCAATGTTAGGCTTTTAGATTCAGCATTTAAAGAAGCACAAGATGTCTACTAAATTTGATATTGAGAAGTTCAATCAAAGCATCAGTTTCAGAATGTGACATGTCAAGATGAAAACTCTCTTGACCCACTAAGGGCTGCATAAGGCATTACTTGGGAAACAGAAAATGTCAAGAACTAAGTTAATGAAGGCAAAATAGGACTTAGATGAGAAATCCTTGGCTGTGATTCAACTTAGCTTGTCCAATGATGGGAAAAGCAACGAGAAGATGAAGACAGAGAGGTAGGGCGGTGGTGATCCTCATAGCGATGGTAACATAACGATCATACACTTTCTTTGGAAGTGTGATTATACCCGTTGCAAGTGGAAAAAATAAAATATTTAAAATATACTTTTACTGTTCTTTCGTAGCTTCTGGAACCAGTTAAATTATTTTTCCCCGCCATTCTCCCAAACGTTGCAAGCCGTCGAAATTAACCGTTGAGCGAGGTTGCCCGTTGGTCGTGGGACCCAGTTGACTACAATTCGGCAAAGGCCAATACTACGGCGCAGGTTTTGCCTTCGCGGACTCTGGTGCTACTGTGCTTTATGACGTCATCACCCGAGTCCGCTAAGAATTACATTTAAAATAAGTAGTTGGTCAATAATTTTTCACTAGTTGCGTGTAACATACGTACTGTTGGGCGTAACGTCAGCAAATTAAGACTTCACTAATTTAAAAATTATTTAATTAATTTACAGATTCAGTTCCCATATTACGTTTCCCGCTAAAATGGAAACCCTATCGAAAAAAATTTTGGCGGCGGAAGCTCAGCGGCCGTCGATGTCCGAGATGGTGACGTCGTTGAAGGCCCGGGTGAGTCCCCTGCTCGACGTCGAGGACCCCTCGGCACGCTCTCTCGCCGCTACGAACTCCGGCTTCTTGGGGTGCGGCAGCGCAGCCCTATCGCCGCCGAGCATGAGGACCACCGACGCCATATCCGGCCGGTCCTCCGGCTGGTCCTGCGCGCAGAGGAGGCCGATCTGTGTGCACTTGAGAACCTCTACCATGGGGATGGGGTACCCCAGAGAGGAGTCCACCAGCTCCAGCCCTTTGCCTTCCTTCCAAAGATTCCATGCCTGCGAAGAACACCCGCCCATGGTGAGATTAAAACATATCGTTAAGCTCCTCCATGGCTGGTCGATAGATTAGCTCTATACTTACATAGCCCAGGAGATTGAGTTTGCGAACGGGGTGAAAGATTCCCCTGTTTCTCCTGCCACTAATGATCTCGAGCACAAGGACCCCGAAACTGAAGACGTCGGACTTTACTGAGAAGCTCCCGTCCATGGCGTACTCCGGCGACATGTACCCGCTGTAACAAGGAGATCAGCTGCTGCTGGATATCGTTGACCAATGAGATTGCTAGTGGGGGGTATGTAAGAGAGAGAGACAGACAGACAGACAGACAGACAGACAGACCGAGGGCGATTGAAAGAGAACGATAAGAGCAAGCAGACTAACTAGGTCCCGACCACCCTTCGAGTGATGCCCTCGGTCTCGTCGCCGGGGAAGATCCGGGCCATGCCGAAGTCGGAGATCTTGGGGTTCATGTCATCATCGAGAAGGACGTTGCCGGCCTTGAGATCCCGGTGGATTATCCTGAAGCGCGAGTCCTGGTGGAGGTACAGCAGACCCCGCGCAACCCCCATTATTATCCGCCACCGCGTCGCCCAGTCCAGAAGCGCCCCTTTGGTCTTGTCTGCCAAGATTTAGGACCCCCATCAGAGAAAGAGAGAGAAAGAAAGAACGAACGAGTGAGAGAGAGAGAGAGAGAGAGAGAGAGGATAGTAGACACCTTGGCAGAAAGAAAAGGAGAGAGATGCTGACCCAGACCAGAGGGAGAGGGAGAGAGGCGGAGATAGAGAGATATGGAGATAGAGAGACAGAGGATAAATATATACAGAGAAGGGGAGAGAGTGGGAGAGGGAAGGCGGGAGGGGTAAATTGATAGATGGATGCCAAGACAAGAGAAAAATATACATAGAGGAAAGAAAGGGGAGAACAGAGAGAATAAGGAAGTACAGGGAGAGAGCCTAACCGAAAAGGAAGGAGTCTAGGCCTCTATTGGGCATGTACTCGTAGACGAGAATCCTCTCCTCGCCCTCGATGCAGCACCCGAGGAGGCGGACGAGGTTTCGGTGCTGGAGCTTCGCTATCAGCCTCACCTCGTTCATAAACTGTTCAACCCCCTGCGAGGAGCTCTTCGCCAGTCTCTTAACCGCTACCTCCTGCTTCCCTTCCAGCCTTCCCTGCCGCTCCAGAATTCAAAAATTAGAAGACCGAATCTTCAAGTACAACGAGGGACTACTCAGTCAAAGAGGCGAGTTAGTTGACCTTGTAAACAGGCCCGAAGCCGCCTTCGCCGAGCAGATTGTTCGTGGAAAAGTTATTAGTCGCCGCGGCTATGGCGGTGACGTCGAACATGGGGAGATCCAGCTCCACCGACTTGGCCATCTCCTCGTTCCAGATCTGACTCTTCACTATAGGGCAGTTTCCGAGCACCACTGAAAAATGGTACGAGACTGAAAGAGTTATCCATACCGAGGGAGAGTGGGGAGGGAGAGAGAGAGAGAGAGAGAGAGAGAGAGAGAAAGAGGAAAGGAGGGAGAGATAGAAAGAAAGAGAGACAGGAAGATGGAGAACGAAACGTGCAAAGAGAGAGAGGGAGAGACGGCGAGACGGAGAGGATTCTGAGAAACGGGTTCTCGTACCTGTATTATTACTCTCCCTCCGCCGCCGGACAAATCCGACCACCAGCCCAAGCAGAAGTATCCCCACCAGGACCGCCGCCGTCGCCGACACTGCCGCCACTACCCGTCTTCTGTTCGCCTTACCCGGCGGCAAACCTGCACAGAGAGACAAAGCTCTACCATAATTAATTAAATAAACAGCGCGAGTGGACCTCCGTTTATCCCCGCTGATGACGGTCGGATAGTCATTGAAACAATGGCTGGAGGTTGTTGGCGAGTCCCGATCCCCATCAGACCTATTTTCTCGATTTTACAAGTGGTCAGAACCGCCGGCTCTGAAAACCCTGGAAGATGAGTTCCACCCAAGCTGAAGGTACTTTTCTCCGGTCGTACCTATATCGGCACGTGCGAGACGGACAAACAGGTCCTGCCCGCCATCGTCGTAGACCCGGAGGTCCGCCAAAACGCCACTCCACAGTATGCAGCTGCTCCTGCCGCCGTTCATCATCTCCTTCATGGCGTAGGCCGTGCAGGAGCAATTCCTCAGGCACGCCTCCCTGCACTCCTCCGTCGCCATCTCGTTCACCATCACCCCCGAGGTGTCGGGAAGCTTCGCGTTAGCCAACAAGAGGAATCCGTCGGTGCCATTTTGGCAGTCCAACGCCGTCCTCCGCCTGCAACCGTCCTTCCCGTCTCTGAGACTCCAGTTCTCCGGGGACTTGGGTTCAAAACCTTGGAGACATCTACACATCGGAGACTCGTTGGCGTCGCAGACGCCAAAGATCCCGCAGTAGCCAAAGGCATCGCAGCGGTCCCTGGGACCGGACCAGAAGACGTTCCACTCGCCCACGCCCTGTATCCAGACCAGCCGTTCTATCAGACCTTTGGGCTGCACCGCCAGCCTTGACAGGACGGACTTATTCCGGGTGCTGAATTGGTAGTAGGCTACGTCGGCGTTTGAGACGAAGGAGAAGTTGAATATGCCATAGCTCCTCATTTCGGGGATCCCGCTGAATCTTCCTCCTACCCACGGCCCCGACCTCCACACCTGCTTGGAGCCCTGGACTAAGATGATCTGCGGATCCCCGCGAGAGTCCAAAAAGGATGTGTAGTCCCCAGTGCCAAGGTCGTCGTCGGACTTCCATGAAGTTAAGTTTTTTGTCAACCCGGTCCGGCGGTCGACCCACAACTTCATCCCGGGAAGGAGGGTGTCTGTGGGGTGGTCAAAGCTCTGCCAGGCGTACTCACCTTCACCGGCCCCGGCCACGACGAAGTTGGCGTCGTCCAGAAGCTTGGCTACTGGCCCGGCAACTCTCGTCGGAGGCGTCGACCAGTAGGCCACCCCCTTTGTGTCGGAGAGGGAGAGGCTGCCGTTGATGGAGATGGATAGGATGCCCGTTCTGTTCGGCAGGGGACTGTCACGGTTGGCCACCCAGACCACCGTCTGGACGGAGATCTGGTTGTACCAGATGCCCAGATACCTGAAATTCGACTTCCCCGGCGTGAAGAATCCCAGCTTGAAGCTTCCATCGGAGGATACTAATGAACCGCCGTCTTCCAAGCGGTCGCCGGGAACGAAGGTGTCGCCGGCGGCGGAGAGGGCGATGAGGGTGGGGATGAGGGCGGCGAAGACCAAAGACTCCCGTCTGCGTTGCCTTCCCACCATGTTGCTCCCCGTTCGGGAGGAAGGGCTGTCAAGTCTCTGACCTCTTGGAGGATAAGAAGAGAAAGGTCTCATCAGACCCATCTTACACCGCGACAAGGGTAGGCGTGTGCCACGTGGCACATTGACTTTCTCCGCCTATCCACCCTCGTCGCCCCCATCGGTATCGCAATTTCTAAAGAACACGGGTTTAGTATTATGTGCAACTTTGTCTAGGTCGTCATCATTAGGGCCCGATCGATGTAGACCAGACTTCGAGACCCACGAGTCAGACATTTGTGTCCACGTCTGTACCTTGTCCTTTCCTCTTATCTCCCAACTCTGTTACGTAACCGTTCATCTACTATTCTCTGGTATGTCCGTATGTGCTTCTATTGCCGGGTGTCACACCCCTCACATAGAGAAACAAGCTTTAGAGAGCAGCATGGTGTGGCACGTCATACGCGTACGGGTAGAGCGCATGAGGATTAGACGACTCTGATCAAGTTCAGGGGAGCGTCTCATGAACCTCATGGGCTGCTAGCATGAGTGACGACACAACGGGCGGAGCCCACGAGCCACCTGTGTGTGATGGCTGAACAGTTACGCTCACTGACCAACACTGTCTCATAGCAACATCGGGTTGTCGTAGGGGTAGTTATTGTTGCTCCATGATGTAATAGCAACCCAAAGTGGGAATTGAGAAGAGAGAAGTGAGAATTGTAATGAAACTAATTAGAGGTCCTAAAGTTTGAGAGGTTTTTCCCGCGTTTTATTATTCTCATAGAGTGAGTAATAGCAAATCCCTTGACTTTTGGGATGTTTCCACATACTGTCAGGGCATTCAGCGTTGGTTGAACATATTGGTCCAGGCCAATGTAAGGCAGCAAAAATGTGTCGGCCTTGTCAGATTTTTGCAAAAATTAGATGTCAAACCTGGTTAATGATAGTAAACTAGAATTACACACAAGAGCGAAGGATCAGTGGATTGGAGCAGATATGTTGTCCACCTTCTACAAAGGCTGCAGAGACCCATTTCTTGGTCATAAACATGTATGCCCACTTCCTTGCAGGCAAGATGATTTTAGGATTACAGTGTGGCTGTTTTTAAATAGGGCAAAAAATAGCTGGGGCGCTCCTAAAAAATGAATCAATTTAAGAAATAAATTTAAAACGTCTTAAAAATTAGATAGTTATTAAAAACTAAGGCCCTAACGTATTATTCACATGCTTTATTAGGGCCTAGTTTGATTTTGAACATTTTTCAATATTCTCATCTTTGTGGTCCACATACTAAAAAAAACTTCACATTTTCGAAATGGCTGGCCCATCTGTTTTATGCAGTTAAAATTGCAAGACTAGACTTTACCTTTCATACATTTAACAACTTTGGTTTTTTGCATATTGTTTCTACAGTAGAACTCATGGCTATGAGCAAAGTAGCATTGGACAGAAGAGTCCCAACACACTTTTGCTATACTGCAGCAGGTAGTCACAAATAAATTGGTCTCACAATTACTTGATTGCACCAAATAATCTGAGATACACACTAATACTTCTAGTTGTTGACTTCCAAGAACCTCACAATATTTTGATGATGCCATTTAATTTGGTAATATATACATGTTAACTTTATATTGCATTAAATTTGTGAATTATCATAATTTAAATTAACTGAAATTCGTTCAAGGGACCACTAAATGCTTATACTTAATTTGAAGAAAATAGCTCTATGTTGAAATTGGCGTCAGACATGGACATGTGAGAACTCATTGAATGATAAATGGCAAAATAACATAAGAAAAAAAATGCCACATCAAAATTCAATCATTAAAATTTGTTATGATTTTTACAAGTATCTAATATATTTAAGGGCAAAATGTTTCACATTTATAATCTATATAACTAAAATGATCTTCAGCTGTGAGAAAGAGTGACTTATATGACACATTGAGAAAGTTTATTTGAAGAGCAACACAATATAGCAAGCTTCATCTCAACATTCAAATGTTTCACATTTACTATGAATTTTACAAAGTTAATGGTTGTATTTTCTCTGTATTTTCGAGCACACACATTGCTTGATAAATGTTGCTCAACGAGCCACTAAGATGACCAATGGGCCCCAATAAGCGTTGCATTAAAGAGGGCTTTTCGCCAAAAATCTAATGGTCAGCCACTTTGAGAATAAGGAAAAGAGAACAGAAGGAAGCAAAAAATGAAAGGGGATTTTCTGAAGAGCATTTCTCACACCCCCAAAATGATATTAACTCTTTGGGGTCAAGTTAGATCTGCGTCCTAAGCACCTAGAGATTAAGATGGTCATTTGAGTTCAGCCCTCACTAACTCACTCTAGTATTTTGAGGCCTCCATGATCACAAATAAATGGTTTTGAATCTAGAGAAGGTTCAGGCTATGTTGATCAGAATATTTACCATTCATAATACTATTAAGGTTGGTTGATGGCTTATTCTTCACCACTTAGGCTTACTGAGGCCAAAACACTCAATATTGGATCATTTCAACCCATAGACTCACTGAGGACTATATGGCTGGTGGTCATGCATTGATGATTTTATAGTAGGTGTATCACCTTTCAATTAGTGGTTAGGGAGGCAGAAATCGCCTTCAAAATAGTTATTTATGTTGTTGATAACTCCTCAAGGCCAGTTTCATGTTCTTTGCAATTGAGGATGTCAACCATCATACTGGCCTCCCCCAGCTCATACCTAAGGTAAAGTTGTACAACTTCAAGTCTTGTCATCATACATTCTTTGATGAATTTTCCTGTGAGTTCAAAGTATACATGTCACATATATGTAGGCTGCATCAATGCCTATTATGAGAATCACATGACACACCTAACATTGAATACCCCAAATATGAGTGTATACATGTCCTACTATCTAGCATCTAATACTAGCCCAACATGGATCAAGATGTGGAGGCTTATTGATAATATATCATTTTTATGTGATAAATAGCACATAATTAGAGTATTTGGTGCATTAGTTCATTTTAAAGGATATACATTTAATTAAAAATCAAGTAAAGCATACTTTTAGATTACTTGGAGAAAGTACAAACTTATTGTATGATTTTTACAAGCATGTATAGCATGTCTATATTTTGAATATTCTTTCATTATATGTTAGCATGCTTTACTTAAAAATTTACCCTTAAATCTTCAGTATTATGAAAAAAATCGAAATTTGATAACTCGTCAATCCTTCCATCAAATTTCATTAACATTTTTATAATACTAGACTAAAAAGGTAATACCAACTTGGTTTTGATACCGAATGTTGTGAAATGCAAGCCAACACGGGTATAAAGAGACGCGGACACAAATGTACAGAGCCCATTTCATGCTGTCCTCCCTGGTTCGGCTGATACTCATAGCCCATGAAAGCCTTGACTCTTCTACTAAGCACCCAATTCCTAACTGGCCAGACTTTTTGCTCCTAGATTTAATGCGAAAATAAAAAATCATGACTTCTGCCCGCAGTATGATCTGGAGGTCATCTTCATGAAGAACTTTCATGAAGAGCGACATCATGTAAATTTCAGGGCGGAGGAGCGGTGGTTGCCATGAAAGCTGAGATATGTCCAAACCAGAGGGGGCAGTCGGGGGAGAAAATGGGGGATTGCCTATAACCCATTCGGGAAATTTGAGTTATTTGATTCCTTGAAACTGTTTTTTGTTCGATAAATAGTTATTGAGGCTCAGACTGAGATTGAAGGCTGGAGAGAGAGAGAGATAGAGAGAGATAGAGAGAGAGGGGTGATCCACAAGAGATAGGGCACATGAGCGCCATCCGGCCCCTCTTCGCATGACATGCAGAGACGGTGATGGTGGTGCAGCGGCACGGCAGCGGTGATGGTGTCTGCGAACTCCTCTGCTATGTGACAGGTAGAGATGGAGCTGAGCACGGCAGTAGTACGATGACAGCGTTCATGGCAACAGCACGTCAGTGGCATGGAGCTTTTCTTTCCCCGTTTTTCAATTATAGCTGGAGTGATAGATAGAGCAGGGACGAGATTGTCATAGATTAGGACTTAAATTTTTTATATCTATTTACAGTTTTTTCATTGTTTAATTTAGTATGCCTCGTCCTCTTTAGATCTTTAAATTACAGAAGGATTTAAACAGGATTATATTTCAGTACTTTATCATTTTCTTTATAGCTTTGATGTATCTTTCTGTTTTGTTCCATGTTGAGGGGCACAATAGATAATGGAAGTTATTTACTGAATTTGGTATGATTTTGCATTTTATTATTTTAATTGATTTCATTGGGCACGTGGTACTCTGCTAATCCTGAAGTGACATAAGGATCAACAAAGAAGAGTTGTATCAACCGTTTTTCAATTTTCATAGCACTTTCTATTAGCTTCTGCATTGTAAAAGCAAATTTCTACAAATAACATAATTTGATAGTAGAATTTGACATTTATCCCCGAGGATTGACCTGAACTCACATATCTAGATTCTAAGTCGAGTATAGATATTACATTTGACATGTTTTAATTCAATGACTAAAATATAATCAACTATATGCACCAGAACCTCATATGAGCCATTAAAGTAAACCACAAACTCATAGTGACACTTGGTTTATTTGAAGTTTTTGTATGTCTTTGGGTTGAGGGATAAAAGATGTGATCACAATGTCAAATTCCAATTTACATTAATGAAGATTCTCATCTTTGTTCATATGCCATGTGGGACTCCTCAACACACCCTTGGCATGTCTATGTGGACATGTGTATTTTGAATATTAATATAAAGTCATAAACTTAATAATATGAGACGTAAATTTAACTAGAGATTGATATCTTGGTTAGATTAAAGAGTATATACTATAAATACATATATTGAAAGAAATTTCAGAAAAAATAAGGTATAGAAGGATTAAATTGATGATCAGTATAAAATTCTCATAAGAGATAATTGTTACATTGTGTAAGTATAAAAGCAATACAAATTATATATGAGGTAAATTTACTATAATCCTATCTACAAGCCTTAATATTTGAATTTCTATATGAAATGGCTTCACGAATAGATGGCACGAGTAGCCAATAGAAAGGTATTTAAATGAGTAGTCAAATGAAATGCATTTTGAAAAAAATTGTCAAGCTCTTGATTTTTTATTATTTTTACAAGATTATTGTTTTAACATGTTTGCATAATGACAAAATAGTTTAGAAATTTGACCTATCTGACTAAAATAGTTTTTATGTAAGAACATATAATATAGATATGGGCATGTGATACCCAATGGAAAACTGATCAAAATAGGATTTCGGAGATGAAAACTATGCATTTAAATTCAAAGCATATAGAGGCTCATTATTTTTTCAATCATTACAATCATTATTCTTTATTCATAGCCTATTAAGACCTACTTAAAACTTGACCATATGACAAAATAAATACCAACATGGGACAATTACATCTCATAATGAAGACATTTTTTCTAAATTAGGGTATAGAGAAAACATATTAGATGGTGACAATTGCTTCAAACAAGATTTCTCTTTTTTTTCACCTCCTCTTGTGTATCTAAGATTGAAGGACATAATCATATTGATTTAAGGGAGCTCAACTTGCTATTTGGAGTTTCAAGTACTTTCTTTCTTGTCCCAATGTTTCTCAAATCCTTCATCAACCTCTTCATAAGACATTTAAAGGCTTTGATAACTTTATTCTAGATAATCTTCTGCTTGTGTTTTATTCAGTGGTATGTTGACTGGTTGAGACACCTGTGTGTTGTAAAGAGGCAAAAGTGAAGGGGAAATCACAATTATAATATTTTTTCTAGGTAGAATTCCTTCCAATGATTGAATGAGCAACAAAACTTAACAAGTCTATTTAACTCAATTCACTGCTAAGTCAAAGGAATTTTACTAAATCATTATAAAATTTGTTGTGCATAATTTCCTCTTGATTTTTTAAATTATATATTAATATAGAAATATAATTGAGGTATGTATAAAAATTGCTATATTTATCAAATAAATTCAGAAATAAATTCAGTCCATCTCTTGATTTATCTAGCCACATGGGGACCAACATTGTCCAATAGGTATATCAAAAAACTACCATCTCACTATTAGTCTTTGGTGAATATTATAGGAAAATTAGGCAACATCAAACGTGTAGATCTAATTCTCCAGCTTGGAGGAGACAAAGTGTGAACATAATCTTCTAACATACCATTTATCTACTCCATCTTGCCAACCATTTACAGATAGAAGGTCATTGAGAACTTCACTATATATCCATTTATGTGAAGAGGGATGCCCATAAGTAATTGATAAAGTATCATCTTGGTCGCTAATGATATATATGGTAATCTTCTCATCTTCATCAAGTTAATCACAAAGCGGCATGCCACCTTTGAGGCTGGACCATCAGTTCATTTTGACATAAATACAACATATTTGAAGAACCTATCGATGACTGCCACATTTTGTAGTTTGATGATAAAGTCCATAATGATGGATTCTCACAATGCAAAATAGGAAGCAATGACTACCTTGATGTGTTTTGTGTTATCTTGGAAACCAAGTAAGACTGGTATAAGTGATCATTCTTAGTCATTATATTAAGACGTCAAATTTAAAATCTATAAACTAAATTTTCTTTAAGGTAAATCAAGTAATCATGGTGAGTTTAAGTTGAATCCACAAAGAAGATACCAAATGATCATAATTTATTAGTTTTATAAATAAAATAAATCTAAATAAAAGAATAAAAATAAAACTATGAATAATGAAAGAAACAATAGAGAAGGAAAGTAAACTAGATACTATGTGCTAAATTAGCTTTGACCCATTTATCCCTTCCATTCGTTTAGTTGATTTATTTAATGAGTAGCAAACTAATAATAAAATAATTAACCTAATTTATGGATAATACATACAGTAAGAGAGGTGAGAGAGTGTGTGTCACGCAAGAGGGGAGAGAGAGAGTGTCAAGAGGGAATTGAAAATAGAGAGAAAATGTTATCCGCTGGTGGGCTCCCCTAATGGCAAAGAAACGAATAATACATTTATGGGATTTTGATAAAATTAAATGTGGAAACTAGAAGACTAAGGGTCAGAAATAGGTTCAGAATCGATTTTATAAAGGAAATCATTCAAAAAACAAAACTAAAATGGATTAAAAATTGAGCATCTCACTTTGACACTAGGGATGAGGTGGATGAAGGAATTTTAAATCTGAAACAAATGAATTAATTTTTGAAGAATCTATTTTTAAATGAAGGTAATGTTAATACAAACTTAAAAACATCATGAAATTGGACATAAAATAGATTGAAATCAGGATTTCCTCCCTTTGACACAATACGGGTGGACAAATGAGTTCGAACAAAATCATTAGAAATTGGTTTTTTATTTGATTCATTGACCTTTAACAATCATGATTAAAAGAATCAAATTCAAAACAATGTAAATATGATTTTTTTTATCAAAAATAATGTGAGAAGTTGATGAAAGCCAAAATAACACCACCATTTGTCACCTAGTAGAAAGAGGAAGAAAAATAACTTTCTTGTTGTCCTAAAATGGAAGTTTTTGTACTCCCATTATATCTATATTCCATTACAGGTAGTGATGAATTTATTTGGTAATTTTTTTTTCATCTAAGTCAGAATTAGCTTCCATTTCTCTATCCATTTTGCTGTCCATTTTTTTGTCAATTTCTGGTCGTTTCTAGCTATTTTCAGAGCTTTTCACCCATTCCCACCCATTTCCCAAATCATTTGTATTTAATTTAATTAACCAATGAAATCGACCTTAATGAGCTTCCTTAACGGGCACATAATTCACTTAAAAAACAAGATGTATTTCGAAAATATTCTGAAAAATTATCATTTTTTTAAATATTTGTTTTTGTGAAAAAATGCTACTGCTTTATAAACCAAAGTCAACATTTCCATCAAATTTCATTCACATTTTTATAATACTTACTTAAAAAGGTAATACTAACTTGCCTTTGATACAGAATGTTGTGAAATATAACCAACATGGTATAAACACTAATCACATAAGTTTAATTACAAATACACCTCCAACATCAGCATGAAAATGTCAAAAAATATAAAAATATAAAAAAAGATGACAAGATTTAATTTAAATGAAAAAATATTAAAAAGTAGGGCACCAAGATTTATGCAGTTCAAAAAAATCCTCCTACATCCACACACAGAGATGGAAATATTTCTTTAACGAAGGAACCAATGAAACGATGCATGAAATACGCTTGGATCTCTTTTGTAGACTCTTGTAGTATGTCTACCACTTTATGCTGAAAAGAAAGACAACAAACGGAAGAAGTAGAACCCTCTATTTTGGCCCAACCTAGCCCATTGATCTCTTATCTTAGCTATCTCTCTCGACAGTTGTTTGCGACAATTTCCAACTCTTGAGATACCTCTCCCTTTTCTATAGAGGAAGAGCAACGGGAAGACCAAGAGAGAGAGAGAGAGAGAGAGAGAGAGAGAGAGAGAGAGAGAGAGGGCGCTGGTGACCCTCATATCGATGGTAACATTATGATTATACACCCCCTTTGGAAGTGCAATTAGTATCCCCGTTGGAAACACAAAATTAAATGTTTATAACATATCTTTGCGGTCCTCTGGTAGCTTCTTGAACCACTTCAATTAATTAATTAAGTACAGATTCAATCCCCACATTACGTTTCCCGCTAAAATGGAAACCCTTGTCAGCGGCCGTCGATGTCGGAGACGGTGACGTCGTTGAAAGTACGCATGAGTCCCTTGCTCGATGTCCTGGAGCCCTCAGCGTGCACCCTCGCCATAATGAACTCCGGCTGCTTGGGGTGAGGCAGCGCCGCGTTGTCGCCGCCGAGCATGAGAACCACCGCCGCCATCTCCGGCCGGTCCTGCGGGCAATCCTGCACGCAGAGGAGGCCGATCTGCGCGCACTTGAGAACCTCTGCCATGGGGATGGGGTACCCCAGAGAGGAGTCCACCAGCTCTAGCCCTTTGCCTTCCTTCCACAGACTCCATGCCTACGAAGAACACCCGCCCATGGTGAGATTAAAACATATTGTTAAGGTCCTCCACGGCTGGTCGATAGATTAGCTATATACTTACATAGCCCAGGAGATTGAGTTTGCGAGCGGGGTGCAAGATTCCCCTGTTTCTCCTGCCACTAATGATCTCGAGCACAAGGACCCCGAAGCTGAAGACGTCGGACTTCACTGAGAAGCTCCCGTCCATGGCGTACTCCGGCGACATGTACCCGCTGTAGCAAGGACATCAGCGGCTGGTGGATATGGTTGACCATTGAAGATCAAAACGCAAAGCGCAGGGAAGGAGAGGGAGAAAGAGAGAGAGAGACAGAGAGAGAAAGAGAGAGAGAGTACTAATAGTACGAGATCTATAGAGAGCGAGAGAGAGAGAGAGACTGTACTAATAGTATGAGATCTGTCGAACGAGAGAGGCTCAGGGGAGGGAGATTGCCAGTGAGAGATAAGCAGGAGAGACAGACAGACAGACAGACAGAGATACTCCACTGGAAGTGGGAGATAGAAAGAAAGAGAGAGGAAGAAGACTAACTAGGTGCCGACCACCCTTCGAGTGATGCCCTCGGTCTCGTCGCCGACGAAGATCCTGGCCATGCCGAAGTCAGAGATCTTGGGGTTCATATAGTCGTCAAGGAGAACATTGCCGGCCTTGAGATCCCGGTGGATGATCCTGAAGCGCGAGTCCTGGTGGAGGTAGAGTAGCCCCCGCGCAACCCCCGTTATTATCCGCCAACGCGTCGCCCAATCCAGTAGCGCGGCCTTGGTCTTGTCTACCACGATTTGAAACTCCCATTAGAGATAGAGATAGAGAGAGAGAGAGAGAGATGGGGTAGTAGATGCCTTGGCAGAAAGAAAAGGAAAAGGATGCTGACCCAGAAGATAGAGAGAAAGGGAGAAGGTGGTCAAGAGATCTGGAGATGGATAGTGAGACTGAGGATAAAGATTTACAGAGAAGGGAAGAGAGAGGAAGAAAGGACGGAGAGGTAAATAGATAGATAGACGATAAGAAAATAGATAAAGATATACAGAGAGGGAGGAGAGGGGAAACAGAGAGAATAAGGAAGGAAGTAGAGGGAGAGAGCCTAACCGAAAAGGAAGGAGTCTAGGCCTCTATTGGGCATGTACTCGTAGACGAGAATCCTCTCCTCGCCCTCGATGCAGCATCCGAGGAGCCGGACGAGATTCCGATGCTGAAGCTTCGCTATCAGCCACACCTCATTCATGAATTGTTCTACTCCCTGCAAGGAGCTTTTCCCCAGTCTCTTCACCGCCACCTCCTGCTTCCCTTCCAGCCACCCCTGCCGCCCCAGAATTCAAAACGTAGAAGACCGAATCTTCAAGTTCAACGACAGATTAATCGATCGAAGAGGCGAGTTAGTTGACCTTGTAAACGGGCCCGAAGCCGCCCTCGCCGAGAAGATTGTCGGTGGAAAATTGGTCGGTGGTGGCTGCGATGGTGGCGAAATCGAACAAGGGGAGATCCAGTTCCCTCGACCGAGCCAGCTCCTCGTTACAGGTCTGAATCTTCACTACGGGGCAGTCTCCGAGCACCACTGTAAAATGGTAGGGGACTGTGATTATTCATCCAGGCCGAGAGAGAGGAAGGGAGGAAAAGAGAAAATATACACATATGTAGATAGGAATACAGAGAACGAAAGGCGCAAAGAGACAGAGGAAGAGAGATCGAGGGAGCTGAGAAATGGGTTCTCTAACCTGTATTACTACTCTTCCTCCGCCGCCGGACAAATCCGACCACCAGCCCAAGTAGAAGTATCCCCACCAGGACCGCCGCCGTCGTCGCCGACACTGCCGCCACTACCCGTCTTCTGTTCGCCTTACCCGGCGGCAAACCTGCACAGAGAGACAAAGCTCTACCATAATTAATTAAATAAACAGCGCGAGTGGACCTCCGTTTATCCCCGCTGATGACGGTCGGAAACTCATTGAAACAATGGCTGGAGGCTGTTGGCGAGTCCCCAACCCCATCAGACCTAGAAGACGAGTTCCACCCAATCTGAAGGTACTTTTCTCCGGTCGTACCTATATCGGCACGTGCGAGACGGACAAACAGGTCCTGCCCGCCATCGTCGTAGACCCGGAGGTCCGCCAAAACGCCACTCCACAGTATGCAGCTGCTCCTGCCGCCGTTCATCATCTCCTTCATGGCGTAGGCCGTGCAGGAGCAATTCCTCAGGCACGCCTCCCTGCACTCCTCCGTCGCCATCTCGTTCACCATCACCCCCGAGGTGTCGGGAAGCTTCGAGTTAGCCAACAAGAGGAATCCGTCGGTGCCATTTTGGCAGTCCACCGCCGTCCTCCGCCTGCAACCGTCCCTCCCGTCCCTCAGCTGCCAGCTTTCCGGCGACTTGGGTTCGAAACCTTGAAGGCAGCTGCACAGCGGAAACTTATTGGCGTCGCAGACGCCAAAGATCCCGCAGAAACCAAAGTTGTCGCAGCGGTCCCTGGGCCCGGACCAGTAGACATTCCAATTGCGCTTGGCCTCTTCCCAGACCAGCCGTTGTATCAGACCTTCGGGCTTCGCCACCATCCTTGACACGAGAGATTTATTCCGGGTGCTGAAATTGTAGTAGGCTTCGTCGGCGTTTGAGACGAAGGAGAAGTTGAACTCGACGTAGCTCCTCATCTCCGGGATGCCGCTGAATCTTCCTCCTACCCACGGCCCCGACCTCCACACCCGGTCGGAACCGTGGACAAAGATGATCTGCGGATCCCCATTAGAGTCCAAGAAAAAGGTGCAGTCCCCGGTCCCAGGGTCGTCGTCGGACTTCCATGAAGTGAAGTTTCTTGTAAACCCGGTACTGCGGTTGACCCACAACTTCATTCCGGGGAGGAAGGCGTCCGTGGGGTTGTCAAAACTCTGCCAGGCGTATCCATCTTCGCCGGCGCCTTGCACGGCGAAGTTGGCGTCGTCCCGAAGCTTGGCAACCGGCCCGGCAAGTCTCGTCGACGTCGACCAGTAGACCATCCCCTTTGAGTCGGAGAGGGAGAGGTTGCCGTCGATGGAGATGGAGAGGACGCCCGTATTGTCCGGCAGGGGTCTATCACGGTTGGCCACCCAGACCACTGTCTGGAGGGAGATCTGGTTGTACCAGATACCCAGGTACCTGAACTTCGACTTCCCGGGCGTGAAGAATCCCAGCTTGAAGCTCCCATCGGAGGAGACTAGGGAATTGCCATCTTCCAAGCGTTGGCCGGGGACCAACGTGTCTCCGGCGGCGGAGAGGGCGATGAAGGTGGGCAAGAGGGCGGCGAAGACCAACGGCTTCTGTCTGGCTTGCTTTCCCACCATTTTGCTCCCCGCTCGGAGGGACGGGCTGTCGAATCTTCCCCCTCCCCCTCTGACCACTTGGAGGATAAGAAGGGAGGTCTCATGAGGCCCATCTTACACGCCGACCGGGGTAGGCAATCGCCTGTGCCACGTGGCAGAGCGTGGGTCGAGTGATTAGCAGCTACCCTCGTGGGGCCCCCTCGGTCTTCCAAGTAATATCTGCAACCTTGTCCAGGTCGTCATCATTGGGGCCCAATCGATTTAGACCGTACTAGAATCTGACGACAAAGAATTGACTGGCCATTGTCCAGGTCCGCACCTTCGCACATTTAGGTCAATGTCTGTACTTTGTCCACTTCCCTCATCCTTCCACTCATCTTTTCAGATTTATCTATTATCTATTATCCTCCGTGTATCCGTTTGTGCATAGATTTCATTAACCTCATATTTTTCAGATTTATTATAGGGCCACGTGTCACACCCCTCACATGGATAAACGAGGTATAAAGAGAAGTATGCCACGTCATATGTGCAGGTGTGTGTATGCTGGCAAAGGGCCGGCACACCACACAACACACGTAGTGCAAATAAGTACAGGGGGGGGGTAGCATGAGTGACAACATGTCCTGCCACAGTGATAGTATGGTACGGCATGACATCGAGACAATGACAAGAGGCTCACAGGGGTAGATATTGTTTCTCTATTATTTAATAGCATTCTCTTATAAAAGGAAACAACCCAAAGTTCATTATTTTCACAGAGTGAGTAATATCATATACCTTGAGTCTTGGGGTGATCTTAGAGTGGTAGGGCAACCCAAGGGAGCAAAAGTAAGAAGAGTTACTCCTACGTGAAAATTTGATATCATAGCAGGTTAATGATGACAGACAAGAGTTGCAGACATAAGGCTGTAGAGGCTCGTTTAATTGCCATAGACAAGTGATCGGAAACCTTGCATGCGGCTGCCTTACTTGCAGCCACCAAACCACCAACCATTCATGGGCAGAATATACGGACCTCAAAGAGTTACAAGGTGATGTATGAGAATGGTGCAGCACGAGGTGCAACATCAGATGACGTTGAATTTGACATGTGCGGGAGGATGTGTCACCCTTTAAGGAGTGAGATTCCCAAAGTAGAATGATCCATACATGCATGCATGCACAATGGTGCATGCTGGCATGAAGCAGCTCACATGGAGACGCATATCAGCCCACATGCATGCACTGACAACTCAAGTAGAAACGCCACTAGACCAAAGTGAGATTCACAAAAGGTATTTGTGAACCTCAAAGGAGCATTGCACCCAATAGAAGTGCCACATAGAAGATTCACAAAAGCTTCAAATGTGCATCTAGAGGCACAGGCCATGGGCACCCTCATGGTAGCAACATGCGTGACAATGGTGGTCAGCACACTAAGGAAGTTCTCACCAAGAGTCTCTAACCTCCTAGAAGAGTTCCAAGACGTGATGTTGGAAGTATGTCTGAATATTTTCTGTCGTTCTTAATAAAATTCAGTAAATTTATAATTTATAAATACTAAAAAATAAGGTAATTTAGATAATTTTAATTTTATAGGGGTTTTCTAGGTCAAACACAAGGAAGATAAAAAATTAGTTAAATACATTTATAATTTTCAATTGATAGATTAACTTTTTTATAAGTTTTAAATATAAAAGTTAACTAAAAATAATTTAAAAACTATTAAATGAAGGATTGTGAAGTCACCTAATGTCAGCCTATGAAGAACACACTTAAATTTGAGTCAACGTTTTACAAAAGAATGGACAGCATGGTCATTGATTACATATCCATCCAAATTTGAACAATTTATGCAAGGTCAAGGATCCTCAAAAGAAATTATTCACCATTTTATCAGGTGAAGAATGAGACAAATTCGTAGATAAATTTCAGCTTCTATAGCAGCTGAATCAAGGAGAAATCAAGAAGAAATCTATTATTTGTATCGAATGGATGATTTGGGCGAATCTAATGTTCGTTGCCACTAGAGGAAAGAGAATGTAGTTGTGTAAAGCATTTGATTGATCGAAAATGCTTGATTCTTCTTCTCCAAATATTTTTCCATCTTCCTATACATTAGATAATTTTTTCAAATCCTCTATCATATTTCTTGTTGTATTTGTCACATATGTCATTGATGTGGAAAATCAAAAAAATAAATTAGTCTCATATTTCATTTTATTAATACTTTTATATTCTTTATCATAACAAGCTTAGGAAAAAATCATAAAAATCAGAAAAAATGTAATTAATACATAAACATTATGATAATAATAATCATTGATAAAAAAAAACTCTCAAAATATTTTATGGAAAATTTTACACGTAATTTCTACAAATTGACAACAAAATCACATAAATAAGGTTAATATCATTTTTTCTAAATTAAATTAATTTGAAAATATTTTTAAAATTTTAAATAATAAGTTATAAAATATTAAGCATTTTACCATGTAATTCATGAGAGTTATCAAAGTACTCTTACAATGACTTCTACCTCAGTAGGAGGTGGACTACAAGATTGAGTTAGTGCCCAATGTATATCCATCAACTTCCTTAATAGGCTCATTATTCTCATATAAATCAATACATATTCTGAAAACATTTTTAAAAATTACCAAAATTTAAATAATATAGTTATATGAATAAATAAGTTAAAATTATTAAATTCTAAATTTTGGCCTTAATAATGATAGAATTAAAGGTAAAATTTTGAAGTAGAGCATATTAACATTTGAGCAAGGAATATTTAAAATATGAACATGCTATAAAATTATGTAAAAATTATATATATATAGCATTTATTTTACACAATTAATATAAAATATATTTTACTTGATTTCCCGTTAAATATATCATTTAAAATGAAACTAAGGTACCAAATATATTAATGATGTGTTACTTATCAGCAAAAAATGATGTTTTATCACTCCCCTCCTACATGGCAAGTCAAGGAGGAGTTGAACACCATGGTGACGACAGTGGTGGTGGCAATGACATGGCCTTTTTTTTCCCTCACCTTAAATCTCTCTTGTGTGACAAATGGAGAGGGGTGAGAATGCTATAGCTCACAACTTTTTATGATTTTAGTAACTATCTTCTACGATTTAATTTTGCACTTATTCTTCCTCTTTAAGTCTCCAACTGAGACAAGGGCCAAAAGGAAATTTTATTTCAATCATTATCATTTTCTTTTATTACTTTAATTTACTACATTATCCTTGTTTGAATTCATGTGTGATATAAGAATCTAAAGAGGGTTAATTTCTGCATCTTTATTATTTTATTGCTTCCATCAGTAGAGGATGACTTTTTACTATTTTTATATTTTTCATATTATTTTTTGTTTTTCTCTAAGCTTTTGTACAACAAGTACTTAACACACTTGATGTAGAGAAACTAAATTCCTTTCTTTTTATTTTATTTTTTTCTTAATCTATCAAGTTGTATAGTTCCTTTGGCCCTTTTGATTTAATAAATATTTGATAACAGAATTTGATACTAGGTTTGACATGGGGGAAGGAGGTTTCAAGATCATAATTACTATGCTAGCATGAGGATGCCCAGTAGTCTTTGCAGGCACATGTGCAGTGGGTGCTCGTCAATTACAATGCACCACGACACACATGGGCACCTACAGCTCAAATAGAACACATTACTAGGTCAAAGCAAAGTTTGTGGAAGTCATCTGTGAACCTCGCAAGTGTGTGTTTGGTAAGGCATTGTCACAACATGTGCAGCTAAAGCGGATGACTCCAATAGTATAAAATGAGGTTTAAGGGAGAGTCTCATAAACCTTGAAGGCCATTGACATGTGGTTGGAAAGAAATGGCATGACATGATGTTAGTGTATAACTTTAGGTCACAACATGGTATGACACAACATAGCATGGTTATGTCAACTAGCCAAAACTAATAACAACCTTATGTTGTTATAGACGTAATTACAATTGTTAAGTGATTAATTGGTCAAGACTATTGCAATAACCAATCAATAATACCTAATTATCAACTTAACTTAGGTTATTATAGGGGTAGTTATGGTTGTTCCATGATGTAAAGGGAACCACCCTTGGTAGGAATTGAGAAGAGAGAAGTGAAAAGTGAAGTGTTGTGAAATGAGAGGTTATAAAGTTTGAGAAGTTCTCCATGCAATATATGGTCCTCATATGTAATAATATCATATCCCTTTAGTCTTGTGTGTTACTATGCAGTGGTAGGCTGCCGAACATTGGCTGAGCGTTGAGAGAGGAAAAATAAGTATACTTGGTTGGATTCCATGATACTTGACCACAACTAAAATTCTCTCTCTCCATATATTTTATACATCCATTTTCTGATTTTGATCATGAACTATCATGTTTTCATTGTAACAAGTTAGATATTCATGTCATATGAGGCAGATCATTTAACTATGTATTCATGTCATAAAAACATCCTATCCACCCAAGTATGCGAACTAATATTGAGTTCTTGGTCAGATCCTTGAGGGACCAATTACATGACTTAGATGTTCTCACAAACATCCAACGACATTTTGGTAGAAGTATCAATTATTCTCTCTCTCTCTCTCTCTCTCTCTCTCTCTCTCTCTCTCCAGCCTTCAGTCTCAGTCTGAGCCTCAATAACTATTTATAGAACAAAAAACAGTCTCAAGGAATCAAAAGAACTCAATTTCCCCAAGTGGGTTGTAGGTAAGCCCCCATTATCTCCACCCTCCGGTTTCGAAAGATCTCATCTTTCATAGCGACCACCGCTCCTCCGCCACTCAGAGGTACATGATGTCGCTCGTTGATATCTGGGTCTGTCCTCTGCTCGCTCGGCTGTTCCTCGCGCTCGGATCCGAGTGGCCACGCTGGCAACAAGGAAATTGAGAACATTGAAGATAAGCCCGAAAATCGGCCTGGAAAACCTTTCCCGGTTATCAAGAGGTGGAGCCGTCAACGAGACCCCTGAACGGGCCCAACTCGGCAGAGCCCGGCCCGATTCAGGCCCCGGTGGATTGGACAGACCGCGGGCTTTCCTAAAGAAGAATGCCCACGAAAAGGATTACCTTTCTAAGAACAAAGGCTAGGTAGAGATAAGCCGCCTCCCACTCGACCGGCGACAGCGTGCCTGCACAAAAATAGAAATAATTCAGAAGATTATGAACCTGGCATGTGTTATTGACCATGGTCAATGGGACATCAAACTTTAGGAGTCAGACGATTTATGAGGGGGTGTCGAGGGGGGGAGTGGGCTCACTCCTGTCTTGGATGCTGTCACCGAGGGCACCAAGCCGGCGCATGAGCTCGACAAACTCCGGCCTCTTCAAGAAGTCGTCGACGAACTCATGGAAGTTCTTCACGAAGATGAGCTCCAGATCATACTGCGGGCAGATGTAATGATCTTTGATTTAGTCAAAGCTAGGAGCAAAACTCTCACCAGGTAGGAAGTGGGTCCTTAGTTCAAGAGTCAAGGCTTTCATGGGCACTGGGCATCAGCCAAACCCTGAAGGAAAGCATGACAATGGGCTCTGTCCCAGAAACAATGAAGCCCAATGGCCCTCTGTCTAGAGAGAGAGATGAGCCCCACCTCTTCTGCTAATGATTTAAAGACATGGAAAGGGACGATCCACTCGGGGCAATCCACAGCATCCTGTGACACCATTTTCAATCATATTGGGAAGGTTTCTATGCAATAATAATCATTGAATGAGCCAAGGGGAGTAGCATTATTTACCTCTAAGTGGAACTGGTACTTGATGCCAAAGGGGCAAGAAGACGGGAATTTCTGGAAGAAATAAAAAAACCTAAATTAAGCAATTATTCCGCATAAATAAATGGGTTTGTTGGGATACATTATTTATGGCAATGCAGGAACTAGGTAGATTTCTCAGGGGAAACAAATTTAAGTAACGATTTTCAGCATATATGACTGGATTTGTTAGGATATATAATTTCTAAGAAAAACCCCTAAATTATGACGAATGTTGCAGCATAAATAAATGGGTTTGGTAGAAAATATAATTTTCAAGGATGAAGCGACAAGAAAAACCCTAAGCTTAGCTATTTTTTCACCATAGATAAATGAGTTCAGCAGAACACATGATTTCAAGGGGTGAAGGTGCCAAGAAGACTCGAATTTCTGTAAGAGAAAAAGTCTTATATTAAGTCATTTCTGCGACATAAATAAATGGTTCGGCAGAATACATGAGTCCATGGGTGAAAGGCCAAGAAGGATAGAATTTCTGAAGAAAAACACTAAATTAAGTCATTTGAATCAGTAGAAATAACATGCCTTTGTCAGAATAAATAACTGTAAAGATGGTGAAGGGAGCAAGAAAACTCGACATTCCGAGAAAAGAACTAATATAAGCCATTTTTCAGTATAAATAAATGGATTTGGTAGAACAGAATACATAGTTAGAAAGAGCACAAGGCCTTGACCCTGAAAAGGAATAAGCTATTAAGAAAAAAAAATTCCACCATAAATAATCAGGTTTGGTAGTTCATATAATTTCAACTGTGGAGCAGATGAACATGAATTTCTGAAAAAAAATAAGTTAAGTCATTCTCCAGAAGAAATCAATGGTCTGGAAGAATATAAAATTTAAAGGGTTAAGGGGGGGAGGAGGACCAAAAATTCAGAGAAAATAGTCATAAATTAAGCCATTTTTTTGGTCTGAATATATGCATTCAGCTCATGAAGTGAATAAATTGAAACCTTCTGGGTAAATGTTTCTTCGAAGTTGATCCAATAAACATCGTTTCCAAACTTCAGGCCTTCCGCTGCACACAGAAGAATTTTTCAGAAGAAAATAAATGGAACGTTTGGATTGATAAACGTCGGTAGAAAATAGAGAGAGATTAAACTATCATTAAAGCATGGTTCTTGGGCCCATTTACGAGGTTTTGGCCCATCAACACCCTTATCCATGCCATTCTTTAGGGTTTGCATGCGATTAGAATTTAAAATTAATTGCGCCATTAATCTTACAGCTACCCTAAAAGACCCTCTCTCTTTTCCCCTCGCATAATTTCCCACCGTTGAAGAACATTAGTCATCTTCTGGACCATTTATACGAGAATTTTCATGATCTGGGGAATCCCATTTTTACTTTATTGGGGAAAAATATCAAAAACTAATAAGAGATTCGGGCAGAGAGGGAATTTCGAGATCCGGGGGCCACCTTCTCTGAGCTTTTTGACGATAACATTTGCATCTGGCATTGTTCCAATGAATGTGCCTCCAGGGCGGAGCAAAGCCGACACATTCTCCAGGGCCCGCCGTGCTCGTGCCTCAGTTGACCACGAATAATGCAAGGCAAACTGCAACAAAGTGACCCCAGAAGATTATAAACCCCATGAATATAGTCCGGACCACTAATTCTTGATACAATGGGGATGATGATAAGAATGGGCTCATCTACACAATCATGGGCTATTCTTTAAAATTAGTTTTTCAAAGTGGAATCATTCTAATAATGCAAGCTGACTTTTGGGCTTTATCACAGGCACAATAGGCATGAACTATGGGAAACATAAGAATATCTGCTATGATACTGCGTTACAGGATCAGGTCATCCGATTGAAAACCAATTGACAGCGAGTGAAGTCAACCCATACAAAAATAAGATTTCAATATGTTTTCCTAATAATGAGACTACGAATTAAGACAGTTATTATCACAGTTTCCTCCGGATATTGATAATCTTTTATGGCATTTTCACTAACTGAAAGAATAAAAAATAATAATCGGGGAGTAAAAATTAGTCCAAAAAATTGAAAATTTTAAGAAATTCAAGCTTCACCCACAGATTCTGGCTTACCTGGCAGCTACATATATCAAATGGCGAGTCATCTGCCAAGATCTTATCCAAGCGAGCCTGAGATGCACAAAGTCAAACAACAAAGTTTTACTCAAAAGCTTTGATGTCGGTATGTACATGATTCCACAGGCAAACATGTACCAAATATTAATGTTGAAACAAGGAAAAAAAAGGCTCATTTCCCAAAAATTAGTATGTTAATAAAGGATGAACAATTTAGTATGCGTGATTAGAAGATTGATGAAACTAATTCATTCTCAATCATAATTAAGAGCTACCTCAACAAGATGCACCAACGGTGAGGTCTGACACATTGCGAGGTTCTAGTCGAGATTATCAGGATTATTTCCCAAATAATCCATATATGAACACGGGATTAACAATTTCTGTTCTAGATTAGATCTGTGATGAAAACAGCCAACACTAAACTAAAATTATGATGGGTTACCTCAAAACAATCCCCACAGAACAGACGTGCTGGAAAGCTGAACCTTTTACGCCGCATGTGTTGATCTGTTTCACCATTGTATCGTGTCCTGCAGTCCTCTATCTGAATGAATCTCACCCATATGAGTACTGGGGTCGGCATCTGAATTGCATCGCCTTTGTGGCAGACTAAAATAATCTATTCAATCACTAAAATATATCTTAAAATAAGTACCGAATCCTAAGGTTCATTTTCATCAATCTAGAGTCCAACAGGATCACTGATCAGAAGATGAAGTCAAACATGGAAGCAAAAGTCAAACCAGACACCATGCTGGACCATTGTACACCGATCTCCATGAGAGGAAGAAAAGTGAACAGAAAAGTAAAACAACAAAAGATAGCTATAGTAGGGAGTGACGAGACCAGGTTGAAGAAACTAAGAGAGATCAGGTTGAAGATACTTGCTAGATTTATTGGGCAAATGGGCTCATCTTTACAACCACAGGTTTTTTTTTTTCTGAGATAATTAAAGGGGGACTATTACTAATCATCAATGGCATAATCAACAGGGGACTATGGCTAAATGTCACCTTCCAAACTTGCATTCATTCAGTTTATTGCTACCCTCCAAGATCTTGTCCAAAAAAAATTCATTTTTTTTGTTTTATTGTTAATTTCTCCATCTAAATCACCATTTATTCTCAACTCCAGAGTCTTCAGTTTTATTCACACACCAAATATATATATATATATATTCCCCTATATGCCTCCATATATTGATGCATTGCCCTGCTCAGTCAAGCTTTCTAATAGATTCTTCGCCCTTGAGTGAATCAAATTTGCTATTAATATTTCCCACATGACTCTCAGGTGATCATATTATTTTCCGTACTAGAATCAAATCTTCATCAGCAAGCATGAGTGATGAACTCACAGAGCCTTCGGCTATGTCAATGCCAACATAGTATCCAACCCTTGCCTTGTCCCACTTGATCAAGTCACCGCCCTACAACAACAAAAAATAAAAAACGTTAATACACAATCACACTCATTGTACGTTCCAAGAATATACGAATTTTTTTAGGAATTGATAGCAACTAGAAAATCCAAAAGCTCTAAAATAATAAATAAAAATCACAGCAGAAGCCAGCAATTTCATCCTGATCTATAAAACCTTAAGAAGACTAGTTTTTCAAGGAGTTAGCACAAAAGTGCGTTAAAAATCAAGAGAACCAGAGAACGAGTGTTCAACTACCGTCCAAGGAGACGGCCTACCTTCCCACAGGCAAGATCAAGGACAGCATCTCCGGGCCGAGCATACAACTGAATCAAGACGCTTTTAATCTGTAGGACAACAAAAACGGAAAAATAAGTTATCAGACACAGAGAATGGAGATAGGAGAGGCCCGAATAGAGTAATTGAACAAGGGGAATACCCAGTTGTTCAGCTTCTTCAAGTGGATGATTGGGCTCGCTTCTCTCTCCTCCAGAGTTCTATTAGCCCTGGCGCTGTAATGCTCGGCCACTTTCTGGGTGACATCCCGCGTGTGGTCGTCGTCTGCTGGGCCAAAAAAATGAGGAACGAATTAAATGCTTGCGATTGAATAACACAGAGAAATCCCACGGTCAATCCGCCCAAAGGAGAGAGGGAGAGAGAGAGAGAGAGAGAGAGAGAGATTAGTGAGAGAAAAGGGAAGGGCTTGGTCGACATACCATCGTGGGTCAACTTCGGCTTTGAGTGGGGAGGACCAGTGGAGCGGTAGGCGCGATCTTCCACGTATCCCCGCTTCATCTTCTCGCCTTGTTATCACCTTTTCTAGAAGACTCTCAGCGCAGAACTCCCCCAAACGATCCAGAAGAAGAGCTGGCCTCGCGCAAGAGGAGAATCCGGCAACCCCTTCATCTCTGCATCTCCCACACGTCGGTGACACCAGCGCGGAGACGACGCCCTCTTCCCCCACAACAAAGCCCGCCCGATCAAGCGCGGCGGGTCTCCACAGAGAGAGAGACAGACAGACAGAGAAATAGAGAGAGAGAGAGAGAGAGAGAGGGAAACAGAGAGATAGATACAGAGGGAGAGAGACAGAGAGAGAGAGAGAGAGAGAGATATCCGCCAAAGGTCCGACAAAGTAGTCGGGATGGACCCGTAAAGCAACCGAATCTGGAACCAGCCGGATCCGATTTATTCCCAGAGAAGAGCGTCCATTTATAAGATTTATGTGTGATTAATTATGACGTCACGGGCCAGTTTGCTTCAACCCATGCAGGCCCGGCCCAGTTCTCCGAATGGCCCGGCCTGGAAAAAGTTGAAGCCCACGAAATAAGTTCGGCCCGAAACCTATGATATTCTAGTATAGCCCGATCCGGCCCGGCCCGGCATGCTGCGCTTGGGGATATATCTTTCTCCGGGCTTAATTTTGGGGGCGGGCGGATTATTTGTCATGCCCGAGGCCCGAACCCTGCTACGGCTCTGGAAGAAAGGGGGCCCCACAAGCATAGGTGGAGAACGGCATACAACTGACTGGATGCTGATGTGGCATTCCAGTAGGACAAACCCGCTGCAAAGGCCATCCACGTCGAATGTGGAGCGCTGCCACCTGATAACTGTGGGCCGATTTTCCAAAAAACGAAAAGAATTAATTTCGTAATCCTCATTTTATTTACTAATAAATCCCTAACTACTTTCCTTGTTGCGGTAGGCCCCTGTAAAGGAGCAACTATGAAATCTAGCATAAATTCTCTTATGTGAAAAGACCAAATAAGCCCCACCAGTCCTGGACACACATCACCCCAAAGTGCTCGAAATCTCAACCGCAGGTATCATTTTCTTCGAAAATTAAAAGAATATTCCGAGAATATTCTTACAGGTGCCTGAGACCGATAAGTAGAAAGAGGATTGACTTATTAGCAATTATTTAAATTTACAAGTGCTTATATTGAATTAACTAAAAACTAATAACATAACGCATAAGTAAATACTAATTTTTAGGAGGTTCCTATTTTTCAAAAATTAATTATAAATTAGAAACAGGGATATTCGCCTCCTAGAAGGACCAGAATATCATTCTGGGTCTTTAAGCGTCCTCCGCCGCCACGGGTGTCTTTAAGATTTCCTTCACCGCCGCCACGGGTGTCTCTAAGGTTCATTTCACAGCCGCCACTGGTGTCTTTAAGCTGTATTTCACCCCCACCGGCGCCAGGAGCCCCACCGCATAGCCGTACTTGATGAGGTCGTCGTAGGCGTCTTCAAGATTCCCGTATTTGAACTGGAAGCCTTCTCCGACGAGTTTGGCGGAGGAGAGAACCAGCTTCGGCCTCGGCGGTGCGCCGTCGGGATAGGCGGTGATGCGGGGGAACTCGGGCAGCTCGTACCGAGTCGCGAGGAACTCGGCGAGCTCTGCAACTCCCGTGTTGATCGGACTTAGGATGTAGCGCCCCGACGCGTTCTCCGACTCGGCCAGGTGGACCTGGGCCCGGCAAACGTCCTCTAAGTGCACAAGAGAGACGGAGCCGGAGACAGACTGCATGATCTTCAGCGGACCTTGAAGCCTCTCGTCTCCTGCATCACCCTGGTTCAGGCCTCCAGAGAGAGGGCGAGAGAGAGGGCGAGAGAGAGAGAGAGAGAGAGAGATGCAGACCAGAGAGGTAGGAGAGAGCAACCCGGACACTGGGAGGAGGGTCTGGGACGAGAGAAGGGCCGACGATGAGCACCGGGTTAACGGCGACGAGGTCGAGCTTGTTTTCCTCTGCGAACTTCCACGCCGCCATCTCCGCCTCCGTCTTCCCCACCAGGTATCCCTGCAGAACCAAAACATCTGAAACCCTAATAATGGAGTGCTTTTGGGAGAACTTGACCGCCGGCGAGGGTTCTTCTTCCCCACCGGGTATTCCTGCAAAACCCAGAGACCAAAAACCCTAGCAATGGAGTATCCGGCGAGGGTTCTCTCTCCAATGCGTACCCACGTCGGTGGCTTCTCTGCCTTCAGGTAATCGACGTCTGACCACGCCGTCTCGTCCATCACGAGGCCGCTTTCCCGTAGCCGGTTGACGGAGACCGCCGCCCCCGACGAAGTCAACACGACCCGCTTCACCGTCCCCGCCTTGGCACACGAAGTCAACAAGTTCAACGTTCCTACCACCGCCGGCAGTCTCAGGTTGTTCTGCGCAGCGAGGAGAAAGAAATCCATGAGGGTCGGGGTCAATGGCTCCGCGCAGGCATTTCGTCGAATACCTCGGGGTCCTCGTCCTCGAGGTTGACCGGGCAGGCGACGTGGAAGACGTAATCGCAGGAGGCCACCGCCTGGTCAAAGCTGCCGGGAACCATCAGGTCCCCGGCGAAGATCTCCAGGTCCCCCAGCTCCTTCAGTGCCCTCATGTACTCCAGCTTTGACGTGGCCTCTACCAGAAAACAGATTGAGATACTCTCAGAAACGACGACAGAGAAACCCATCTCTCTCTCTCTCTCTCTCTCTCTCTGGGGAGGAGGGAAGGAGGGAAGGAGACGAACCAGGGTTTCTGGAGGTCGCACGGACGCGGTAGCCTCTCTGAAGCAGCAGCTTGACAAGCGATGATCCGACGAAGCCATTGCCGCCGGTGACGCAGGCCAACTTCGCCATCTCCGCAGCGGCGCAATACCCGTTGGTGAGGCCCGCCGTCGGTTTTTATACTGCGCCAGCAGTTCTTTTTGGTCGGAGGACGATCCCGACGGTGGCCACGTGATCCCACCTGATAGACCCCGGTCAACGGAGAGGAGAAAGGTCCGTGGGAAAGCCCTTGCCACCTGTGGGTCAACGGGGCTCTCTCTCTCCCTCTCTCTCCATCCGTGTTTGGAGTTGGGAATAAGACTGGAAGATGGGGATCGTTGACTGAAATAAGCTCTTTTAATTTTTATTTAGGTTGGATAAAAAAGCAATAAAAAGTGTTTTTATCGGTTAAAATTTTATAAGGTTTTTATTGGCATTTTTAAATATTCACGTCAGCTGATAAAAAAATCACGTTTTCCTCTCGGTTCGTCATTCACTCGTCAGGGACAAACGACAGGAGCAGTCATAGTTGCATCATGCAATAATATCGCAGCTTTCTTGGCTGGCCCTCGAAGCCACCTGTGTGCCACGTGGAAAAATCACTGAAATATTATTGGATAAAAAATACAAGAAACCGAAAAACTAATAAATTAATTTCAAAAAATCAGTTTTTATCAAAATAATTCCCCCATAGGAGCCCGCATATCGAACTAAGGTGCAGGAGGGGGAGAGGAATTCCACGTGGCGTGACACGTGGACACATAACTGAAATATTATTGGATATGTAATAATAGTAAATATCAATTGTGTATATTAATGCTGATAAGATAAATATAATGTTCGCGAGGATTTTTTGAAAATACTGCTAAGAAGGGCCCACGTTTTCTCCCGCGTAATCGGGGAGGCCGAGGAATGCGCGGGGGAAGAAGCGGAGCTGGAAGAGATCCTCCGCCATTCCTCCTCCTCCTCGCCGCGTTCGCCGGCGGCGGATTCAAAATCCGGGAGCTCTGGTGGATCTCCACCCCGCGCCGGCTGACGAATTTCTCCTGAATTTTTTGGTGTGATTTTGTGTTTGTTCGCATCGGAGAGGTTCGATCTAGCGGCGGATGCTCGGTTGGCGTCTCCGGGGAGGATCTCAGGGAGAATCGAGCTTCTCTGGAGCCAGCGTTGAGGCTGGAAAGAGGGGCGACGCAGGCGTGGGGTTCTGTGATATGAGAACGAGAGCCGGTGGCGGCCGTGGACAGTGTGGCGACCATGAAGCCGGGGATGAGTTGTATCGGGGGATTCGCTCTCCTCCTCCTTGTAATATGGCACCGCGCTTCGGTTACCCCGGGAGGTTTCGCCTCGCGACGGAGGATGGACCGGGAGCGGTCTCCAGAGAGGAGCGGTGGCAAGGTTAGTTGCGGATTTCTCGATCGAAACCTCGGTTCTTCGTCTCCGAAGCTTTTAATTTCGCTTCTCGTGTTTTATTCAAATATGAGGTGACTTGATAATGCTTGAAGATTTGCATCTGGAAATCATCGTCTTCATGAAATGTACAGAAATAATCCCTGCAGTCACATTTCCCTCACCTTCCCTTTTGTCCATAGTTGTATTTGTTCTTTTTCTCAGATGTTATCTGATTTACAGAGGAAGATCAATAAAATAGGCAACACAATCTGCTCTTCATCCTATCAATCTACCGATCTATGGGCTGTTCTCGTGTCCGGTTTTATTCATTTGCATAGGAATTTTGCGGTCATTTGGATATGATGAGCGATAGATTATGTATTCAACACCGTCCATCTGCAAGCAGCTCATCTACTCTTACGAGTTCTCCTGTCCCTTCGCGGACACAGGAGGGCCGCCCTTTTTTCGTGTTCTTCTGCATTTTGAATTTTGTGGCGCACTTATCGAGAGAATTCTTTTTCACGATGTCTGATTTATTGTTTGTCTTTAGATGGACTGGTCTAATTGCAGGCCAGATTTAATGGGAAATTTTCTTGATGGAGGAAGCACTGGTGAGGTCAATAGAGAAGCGAGTCTGTCGACAGAAGATGACAAAGAGAAAGCTCTCGTTCTCCAAGCTTCAAACACCAGATCTACCCTCATGGATCGCCTGAGCGGGCAGAACCTCCCCTTCCTCGTTTCCGGTGAAGAAGTGAGCCGTAGAAACTGGTTCGTAAAGTATTTCGAACTCCTGCTTGGCTGGAATGCTGCTCCTAGGCGGAAGTTAGTTGATGAAAAAACTCGCGCTGTAGTTCCCACCTCAGCAACCGCCCCAGCTCCTTCCTTACCATCGGCTCCGGCCCCCAGCCCTCTGACTACTCTTCCTGTTAATGCTCCTGCGCCATCTCCCATCTTCGCTCATGTAACCCCACCCATGTACAGTGGTCCTTCTCCTGCGGAGTCTCCGGAGCAGATATCTCAACTCATACCAGACGGTGAAATCCAAAGAACACCTCCAGACGTCGCCATGATTTTAACTCCAGAGAACAATGATGGTAGCAAGAGAACCGTGATAATTGCCATAATTCTAGCAGCTACAGGATCTATGCTCTTCACCACAATATTATTCTACTGTTATAGTGGACGTAACGTTGATTCGGGGAATGGGCAAAGAGATGATAAACCGCTTCTGGCATTGAGCTCGAGCAACTTCTCTGCGGGTATAAGACTGCTCCTAGCCTTTTCTCAAGTTTCCTACCTTGTCTAATAGTTGTTACATTTCAGAATTTCTACTTTGTAGGTTCTTCGCACAAATCTTTTGAACTGAAGAATTCAGTGAGCAGGAGGAGCATCGAATCACAGTCTTTTCAAAGAGAGTCAGGTCATGATGGTCAGGTCTCGGATATGTTTTCCAACCATGCTGAAGTTCCATCTTCGGATACTGTCTTAGCTGACGCTTCATCCTCTGGGGTAGTGGCAGGCATAGCTAGCTTTTCAGTAGAGCCAGCTGCCACCGCTACCGTGATCCCTACCATGGAACCTCCTCCAAGACCGCTACCTCCCCCCCTCATGCCTCCTCCGGGGAAGAAGTCTGCACCTCCTCCACATCCACCGCTTCCACCGCTCAGTGTCAGACCTGGTCCTGTCCCACCACCTCCACCAAAGGTTGCCCCTGTTCCACGTCGTCTACAGGAAGGCTCGAGCTCTGTTAGACCGCCCTCAATTCCTGGCCCAAATCGCGCAGGAAGCATTCGTCCAGATCAGTCCACTGACAATGATGGTCCTAAGACCAAGCTGAAACCCTTCTTCTGGGATAAAGTTCTTGCAAACCCTGATCAGTCAATGGTCTGGCATCAGATCAATTCAGGTTCTTTCCAGTAAGTTTGTGTGTCAATCATTGTCAACCCTCTGCAGTATCTACCCAATCTATAAGCTAGATTAAGTTATTCTCATGGATGTGCAGGTTCAACGAGGAGATGATAGAGACCCTCTTTGGCTATTCTGCTGGCAAGCAGAAGAACGGGGATGACAAGAAACCGGCAGCCATTGACACTTCTCCTCAACACATTCAGATCCTGGACCCGAAGAAGTCTCAAAACCTAGCGATCCTCCTGCGAGCCCTGAATGTGACAGTGGAAGAAATTCGTGATGCACTCATGGAAGGTGAGATGAAGACGATGATCCTCCTCCGCCTGTATTTTCCTTTTGATTAAGGTGGAAGCTCTGGTGGCCAGAGTGAACAGGAAGGGGATGATCCATCTTCTCTGTTCACCTCTCTTTGCTTCGATTCTTCTGTGATTTCAGGAAATGAGCTCCCGACAGAGCTCCTCCAGACTCTGATAAAGATGGCGCCGACGACGGATGAAGAACTCAAGCTTCGCCTGTACGCCGGCGAAATCTCCTGCCTTGGCCCCGCAGAACGATTCCTGAAGGCCCTCGTGGACATCCCCTTCGCCTTCAAGCGCTTGGATGCCATGCTGTTCATGGGTTCCCTGCAGGAAGAGATCTCGAGCATCAAGAACGACTTCCAAACTATCGAGGCATGTCTCCGTCCAGCTCTTTCTCTCTCTCTCTCTCTCTCTCTCTCAACCTCTGTCTACCCATCTCGCCATTGTTGCTTGGTTGTTCGTCTTCGTTGATTTCTATGCTAGGTAGCCTCCTGGAAGCTGAAGAGCAACCATCCGTTCCAGAAATTACCATAAAGTCCAATGAACTCAATCATCCTCTCTCTCCCCCTCGGACTGCTAACAACCGTTTCAGATCTCCATTGATTTCCACGCCAGGCGGCCTGCGAGGAGCTGAAGAACAGCAGACTGTTCAAGAAGCTGCTGGAGGCTGTGGTGAAGATCGGCAACCGGATGAACGACGGCACCTACCGCGGCGGCGCCCGCGCCTTCAAGCTCGACACCCTCCTCAAGCTCGCCGACGTCAAGGGCGCCGACGGCAAGACCACTCTCCTCCACTTCGTCGTGCAAGAGATCGTCCTCTCCGAAGGCATCCGCGCCGACCGCCAGGCGGCGCCGCCACCCCCCGGCAGCGTCGCCACCCCCTCCGACTCCGGAGACCGCCACCGCCGCCTGGGATTGGAGGTCGTCTCCGGCCTGCCCAGCGAGCTGGAGAACGTCAAGAAGGCGGCGCTGCTCGACGCCGACGCCCTGGCCGGCACCGCCGCTGCCCTGGGGAGAGGTCTCCTGAAGACGAGGAGCTTCCTGAACGGGGACATGAGGAGCATGGAGGAGGAGGGGGGGTTCCACCGGGCCCTGCGGAGCTTCGTGGAGGACGCAGAGGGCGGCGTGACGGCGCTGCTGGAGGAGGAGAAGAGGGCGGGGCTGCTGGTGAAGAAGACAGTTGACTTCTTCCACGGCGAAGCCCGGAAGGACGAGGGGCTGAGGCTGTTCGGAATCGTGAGGGATTTCCTCGGGATGCTGGAGAAGGCTTGCAGGGAGGTCAGAGAAGCTCCGGCCACGGCGGCGAGGGTTGACCCAGAGAGATCAACGGCGGGTCCGAGGCGGCAGCGGCCTTTCCCGTCGATCCGCGGGGGGCGGGCGGATTCCTCCAGCTCGGACGATGGGAGCCCCTAGCGGAGATGAATCTGGTACGTCTCTGGACCAGTCGTTCCTTTTTCTTTTCTTTTTTTCCCTTTTTTCCATGCGCTCTGCATATGACTGATCGATTAACTGCTGCTACAGAAAGAAATCTATCTGATACAGTAAGAACCAGTTAGAGAGAGAGAGGAGAGAGACTTGACTAGGTGTGAACCAGTCGGAGGAACTTCATGAGGTGGGAAGAGAGAGAGAGAGAGAGAGAGAGAGAGAGAGTTGTGTGGGTGGAAGCAGTAAGAAAGAGGACCTGTATGGAGTGAGGACAATGTGATGGGGGGACCTTGTACGGGGAGGACTAGAGAGAGAAATGTATATGGGGTGGAACTAGAGAGAGAGAGAGAGGCACATGGGACAAAACTAGTGAGACAAACTCTACGTAGCGCTGGTTGGTACCAGCGAGAGAGGTTCGCGTAGAGGCAGAACCACATACATGAATAGAGAGAGAGAAGAGAGAGAGAGAGAGAGGTACAGGGACAGAACTAGTGAGGGAAACTCTACGCAGGGTTGGTTGGTACCAACGGGAGAGGCTCATGTAGGAACCCCATAAACATGAATAGAGAAAGAGAGAGAGAGATGGGGGGGTATGCGATAGATCTAGTGATAGAAATATATGTGGGGTTGGTTGGTACCAACCAGAGAGGCCCCGGTTGGGGTAGAACCACAGATACGTGAATAGAGAGAGTGAGTTGCATGGGTAAGAACTTGTGAGAGAAAACCTATGTGGGGTTGGTTGGTACCAACGAGCGAGGCTCCTGTAGGGGTAGAAACACATACATAAGTAGAGAGAGAGAGAGGTATATGGGATAGAACAAGTGAGAGAAATCTATGTGGGTACGAACGAGAGAGGCCCCTGTTGGGCTAGAACCACATGAGAGAGACAGAGAGAGACAGAGAGAGGAAGAGAGATACGTGCACGGGTAGAACTAGTAATGGAAGCAGAAATGGTTAGCGAGAAAACATTGCGAGGATAGAAGTAGAGAGAGAAAGACAGGGAGGATGGAAGCTTTCCGTCTCGTCTTGTTAACTCTGGTTGATCTCCTGCAGGAAGAGAGAGAGAGGTTGGGCGGCCGTGATTCGCCCAAGGGTCTTGTTTCCAGTCGCATCTGAAGAAGTAAGAGAGGAAGAGAGAGAAAGGAACAACCTCTCTCTCTCAAAGAGCCCGCCACATAGAATGCGGCCGTATGTCCTGAATTACTCGTGATCTTATTTCTGTCGTGTAAACCATCTCATTCTGCAAACTTAGGAATTCGGTCGAGCGATACTAGTAGCCATCGGAATTCCCTCTCTCTCTCTCTCTCTCTCTCTCTCTCGCTAGCACTCGTTTTTGGAACCGTATGAAGTTTAGTCGCCTCATATAGAGAGAGAGAGAGTGAGACCATGCTTTGGCCAACGTTGACTTCAAAAGAGAGAGAAGGGACAAAAACAACGATAGCGAGAGAGAGAGAGAGGGAATGCGTTGGCCAACGTTGACTTCGAAAATAGTCAAAAAAGGTTTACACGTCTGATTATAAACAACAACGGTGCTAGGATGTCATGTCAGAAGTGGGATTTGAACCCACGCCCTCTCACGAGGACCAGAACTTGAGTCTGGCGCCTTAGACCACTCGGCCATCCTGACTTGATGAGAACTAAACTGCCAGACCAGAAGAAAAATAATAATAATAACCCGATGGATTCTCAGAGAGCTTAGAGAGCCCCAAGACGACGGCGTATATATCCTCCGCCATCGCCGGCATTCGTGCTCCTTCACCACTCGCGAACTCCAGAAGCTCCCCTTCCACTTCGATGGCGCTCCTCCCTCCCTCCTTCCTCATCCCCCTCCTCCTCATCCCCTCCCTCGCCTCCCACACCTCCTCCCACCTCCCCGCCTCCGCGTACACATTTGACAGCAGCACCAAAGCCCCCGCTTCCTCGCCGCCGCCGCCACCGTCGATCTCCACCAGCCGCCGCCCGCACTCCTCGGCCAGATCCGCCTCCCCGTGCACTCTGCACGCCGCCATCAAGCTCCCCCACAGCACCGCCGCCGGCTCCATCGCCATCGCCACCGTCATCTTCTCTATGAGCTCCCTGGCCTCGCGGAGCCGGCCGGCGCGCGCCAGGAGATCCACCACGCAGCCGCAGTGCTCCACTCCGATCTGAGATCTGCTCCTCATCCGGCGGAAGATGGCGAGGCCTTCATCCACTCGACCTGTGTGTGCGCAGGCGGTGAGGGCGCCGAGGAACGTGAGCTCGTCCGCGGCTATACCGTCCTCCTCCATCTGGTGGAACAGGTCTAGGGCTTCTTCCCCGCGGCCGTTGGTGCCGAGGCCGACGATCATCGCGTTCCAGGAGATGACGTTTCTGTTCGGCATCCGATCGAAGACGGATCTGGCGTTTTTTACGCTGCCGCATTTCATGTACATGTCCACCAGTGCTGTGTGGATCACCACGTCGAGATGGATCCTGTTCTTGCGCAGATAGAAGTGGATCCATCTCCCGAGCTCGAGCGCGCCTAATTGGGCGCACGCAGAGATCGCCCCCACGGCGGAGACTCTGTCAGCCTTCACCCCCCGCAGGAGCATCCGCTGGAACAAGCTCAGAGCCTCCTTGGGATCCCCATGGTTGACGTAGCCCTCGATGATGGTGCTCCAGGAGATGACGTTCTGATCCGCCATGGAGTCGAACAGCCGGCGCGCCTCCTCCATCCTTCCCACGGCGACGTATCCGGCGATCATCGAGTTCCAGCACACGAGATCTCCTCTCTCCGGCATTTCATCGAACAATTTGCGAGCGGATTCCAGTTCTCCAGCCTTCTTCCCGTACCCGTCGATCATGATCGCCCAGGAGAAGCCGTCCCTGTCCGGCATTTCATCGAACAGCTCCTGGGCCTCCATCATCTTCCCCCCGCCGCCGGCGTACCCGGAGATCATCGAGTTCCAGGAAACCAGATCTCTGCGAGGCATCCCATCGAACAACTTCCGAGCATGGCACAGCTCCCCGCAGCGGCAGCACAAGGCGATCAGCGCGTTAGTCACGAACAGGTGAGACTCCCATCCTCTCTTGATGATCTCCCCGTGGATCTCCCTCCCTTCTTCCCAGCTCGAGGACAAGCCGCATGACTTGAGGACGAAGGGGAAGGTGTACTGGTCCGCCGCCGCCCCTCGCCGCCGCATGCGGCGGAAGACCGCCACCCCTCGCCGGGGGTCCGCCCCGGCGGCGTGGATTCTGATGAGGGTGTTCCAGAGGAAGGTGTTGGGCTCGCCGGCGCCGGAGAAGACGAGCTCCGCGTACGCCGGCGCTTCCTCCGGCGATACGGTCCCCAGCTCGGCGACGGCGAGGAGGAGCCTGCCGGCTAAGAAGGTTTCTCCGGCGAGCCCTCCGGCGATCAACCGGGCGTGGACACGGAATATCTGCGATATCCCCCTCGCCCTCTGGAGAAGATAAACCAAAGCTCTGGAGGCATCATTATCAGACGGAACCATCTCATCGCTCATTCTCCGAGATATCTCTCTCTCGTCCAATAAGAAGGCGATTTCTCGATAGAGGGCATTATGGGCAACAGAGAATGAACAAGATTCAGAAAGGGAGTCGTTTTCTTTTTCGATTCTTTATCAACATAATAATATTAATCTCCGACGTTCCATCGATCTCAACCCAGATGTTCATGATCTGCAGCAGTTCAGAGTGGAGAAGAATTTCTTCCCGAGGGAGGAAGACGACTTCTTCATTACAATTCGAGGTATTCACACAAATTCAGGTTATGCAGACAGACAGACAGCGAGGAGAGAGAGAAAGATGGGGAATGATGGAGCTAAGCTAAGTCTGGTGGGGATGGAGGCGTGAGGAGCTGATCAGCTGTCGTCGGCGGGGGCGGACTTGGAGCCGGCGCCGGTCTTCTTGGGGAGGAGGAGGTTGTGGATGTTGGGCATGACGCCGCCGTTGGCGATGGTGACGTCCCCGAGGAGCTTCGAGAGCTCCTCGTCGTTGCGCACGGCCAGCTGGATGTGCCGCGGCACGATCCTCGTCTTCTTGTTGTCCCTGGCGGCGTTCCCGGCGAGCTCCAGCACCTACACCCAAGCAGACCACACCATCCGATCATCATTATCAAGAACAGATTATCCCCCGATCATCGATCAGATCAAGAAAATATGTGAAGTTAGAGAAATCTCAGAGGACGAAGTTCGCGACAGAGCTCCCCATCAGATCGAGAAAACTGCAGAACGACGGGGGATTCAAAGGAGGGAGGAGACAGATCGCGCCATCTCTACAGATCAGCGACGGCCGCGGTTATTTCAAGATAACCATGTGAACAGGAGAAATCTCACGGAAGAACCAACACGGCTGCGGCGGCGGAAGAGGCGACCAAACCCTAATTCGGCGAAAAGGTGGAGAGGAGACGAGGAGCGGTACCTCGGCGGCGAGGTACTCGAGTACGGCGGCGAGATAAACGGGGGCGCCGGCGCCGACGCGCTCTGCATATTTCCCGGCCTTGAGGAACCGGGCGATCCTCCCCACGGGGAACTGCAGCCCGGCCTTGCTACTCCTCGACGTCGCCTTCTTCGCAGCCCCCGACCCCAGCGTCTTACCCCTTCCTGCCATCCTCTGCACGGTCCGAGATATAGAGACAGACACAGAGAGCAGAGAGAGAGAGAGATGGGGAGCAGAAGGTTTTCTCTCAGCGCGATGAGGAAGAAGACGATGAGAAGCAGCAGGTTCGGCCCTGGCAGAGAATATATAAGTTACAGGAGGGGTTCAACAGGAGGGCGGCAAATAGGATGCGATCACGAGGATCGCCATCTGGACCGTCAGATTTGGATTCCAATGGACGGTCAGATGAGGTTCTTAGGAACGATCCGAAGATAGGTTCGCGGGGGGAGGGAGGGCCCATGACATGGCCCACGAGAAAAGCAGGGCCAACTTTAAATGTTTTTACTAATCACATTTAAATGTGGGCCCCACTAGAGAGAAAACCCGCCCAGCCCATTTTTAAGACATGGGCCCTAAAAAGCCCGAAATGTGGGAAGACCCAGATCGGGCCATTAAAATAACCAATATGCATGAGATTAAGATTATTCCGTGGAATATAATTCATGAGTAAATATGGCCTTTTTTGGGATAAATTTTTAAGAATATAATTTATAGATCAAACTTAGATGCTTGATCTGTGACCTACCTTCCTAATTATGATGAGATCAGATATATCCTGAAGATGTCAAGATTTAATTAGCCATCTGAAATTAATTAATTATGAAACTATCTGAAAATGATTAATTATGTTACAAAAAAATAAAAAAGATGACATTGAAATTTTAAAAAATCAATAATTTGAAGATTAAAATGTGGTATGATTATTATTTGTAATATATTTTTAAGCCTTGATTACGAGTCAAAAGTATACCTTTGATATCTTGTTTATGGTGATCAAACTCTCCATCTCTCTACTATTTTTTTCGTATGTTCATGAGAGATTTATAAAATTAAACATTAGACATCAATCCCTAGAAAATATGTATGTGTGACTTTTTTATTGTGCTATAAGTTAAAGTCAAATTAGTTGACTTCACACACTTTCCCATGCTTTTCATGGTTGAGATATTCTACAAATTAATTGAAATTATGATTACAATGAAAATTGCATAAATTATAAAAATTCCTTAATTGAGACGACTAATTTAGGTCTAGTCTTGTTGTTGTAGAAATATATTTTTCGCTCATAGGTTGAATATTCCTTCTTCAGTTCGTGATAGGTTTATAACATTAAAAATTAGGCATCAAGCTTTGAAAAATATGTAGGTATGACTTTTGAGTGAACTATGAATTGAAGTCAATTTGGTTGACTTCATACTCTTTCCAGATGAAGAAAACTCATCAACAAGTTGACTGAGGTTTCTTGTCGAGATCCTGAATTGCACACACGATGAGCTTATTCTACAAACTAACTGAAATCATGATTGCAAATGAAAAATTATGTAAATCATATTAATTTAGTAATTGAGACATAAAACTTTAGTATAATCTTGTTGTTGGGTAGATATATTTTTCGATCATAAGTTGAAATTATGAGCCAAAGAATTGTCTCTATAACAAACTAAGAAGTCTCCAGCCATCATCATACAATTATGTATGACAACTTCAATACACATGTCAAAGTGTATGATGGCAAGTGGCAATGAGCAGAAAGTCAAAGTGAAACATGAAAATTATCTAAAACATAAACGGCAAAATAAAATTACAAAATAAGATGACACATTGGAAGTGTCTAAGGAAGCATGTGCCTCTTGAAACGCAAAAAATGATGTTTGACTGGCACAAGGATACTCACCAAAAATCAAAAAGTCAATCCATTAGTCTCATCAAATTAATCCAACAACACCCTCAAAAGGTGGGTCAACCCTTTAGTCAACCCAACGAAAGTTTCAACCAAGAAGAACTCTCTCTTTTCAGCTCAAACAAGCAAAAAGTGACACATGGTGTTACTTGGTGACGCATTGAAAGTCAAAGTTAGCAAAGTTTATGAAGAAGCCCATGTCTCTTGACATGCTAGAAAGGATGCCACGCATCATAAGATCTTTGACTGACCCAAGCACACCCACAACGAACCAAGAAGTCAATCTAACAATCAGGTCAACCCTTGAGTCAACTCAAAGAGGTTTTGACTAGGAAGAACTCTGTCATTTCAGCTCAAACAAGCAAAAAGTGATACACTTGCTAAAAGAAGTTCATCCTCTTGCTCCAAATAAGAATTTGAAGTCAACTTTTTTATTTGCTTCAAAGTTTTTTATCAACAAGGAAAGTGTTGTAAGTCAGTATGGGTCGACCCCTCTTTGGTATATCTTCTTAGCCAACTAGGGACCCTTATGATTTCCCTATGTACTTAGCGAGCGAACGAGAGAGAGAGAGAGAGGCTGCGTTGTTGACTTTTTCTTAATTTCGGGCTCAGTTTTATGGTCCGATTGATAGATGGGCCGGGCCGGGGTAGCCAGGAAGACGGCCCGCACCCTTCACGGAATTGGATTACAGCACAGGGAACCTCTTGCCACTATTGTCTCCCGTGCCATGTTTCCATTGGTTCAGACTTACGTTCTTGCCCAACTCAGCGCCGAGTCGGCTCCTATGGTCGAGACACGTGGCACATGAGTCAGTCAACCCGAAGCGTCCAGAGCTTCCGAGGTACTTCTTCTCAGAGCCGATCACGAAGCGGAGAGCTCTGGGGAGGCAGGGAGGGAGAGAGAGGGGACAAATGGCGAGGTTCTTCAGGGAGGAGGAGTACGAGGAGGATCGGCCGGAGAAACCGAGGATGTTCGGGGTGACGGAGGTGAGGGGGCCCTTCTACAGCCGCTCCCTCACCACCCACCAAGCTCTCCAGGTCAGTCTCACGCTGCCTCTTCATTTTTTTTCTTCAGAATCTCCAAGTTCTGCTCAATCCCCCCGCGTAATTTTCGCTGTTTTTCTTTGAAATCCTCCTCCCCGGGGGATTACGCGACTTCGGAATATAATTTGAGAGACGGATGGATGGGGTGGCTCCCGCGGAAATCTATGTGTATGTGGTTTTCTTTTCAATTCTGCTTCTGTTGCCACTCCGCATCGTCGTAATCTTCGTCCTGGCTTCGTATCCCCCCTGTAGGTTTTTATGTATTCAGTTCCATCTTCGCCTAGCGAATAGCGAGAGACGGATGCTGCTGGCGCTCGCCCTCTCCTTTTAAACATATTTTCGCGTTTCCTTTCGTTTTCTCTGTATAATCCGGGCCCTATCTTCGTTGTGGCGGTGTTTAGCCGTGGTAAATCCTCTCAGGTGATCGGTGCGAGAACTTTTCAGTCCTTCCATTTCAGTGTCTCAATCGAGAGACTAGGGTTTTTAGCATGGATCCTGGTATATTTCCTGTGATGTGAAACATCAGATTAGTCTGAATGATCTACGCCCGTTCTAAAGCTCAAACTCTTTCTAGACTTTGATGCAGGCCGGGTGCCTACCCTTGCCGCGAAGATGTTATAATCAGTTTTCCTTTTCTTTTATTCTTGATGAACATAGATCATGCGTTTCTGAAATCAGTAGAGAAACTTTTCTCCAGTTCTCATTGATTTGGGATGATGATCCCTATATCCATCAGAAAATAATTGCTTGCCCAATGATTCCATATCGACAGCATCGAATCAAAGGGTCCATCTATGTCCTAAGCATTTCATTGTGTGGAGTTCTCAGTCATCTGATGCACTGCCCTAAACCTAAATTCTCCAATGTTTTTTCAGAATTTATCGTATGACCAAGAAATTTATCAGAATTTATCAGGCCTTTTCAGCTCTTCTGGACTGCTATTCACCTTCCCAGTGATTTTCATTTCATGTCAAGATTTCTTTTGAAGGTTTATCAGGGGATATCTCCTTTACTACTTCTCTACTCTTAATCTCCTCTTCTGGTAAATTTTATCTACTCAATTTTGTTCTTCCCATTATAGCAAATAATTTGGCGTATAATCTAACTATCTGGCTCAGTGGACTTATATTTCCCTGCCTGAAATATTTATCTACCTCGTTATTCCACTAGATTTCATCCACTCGCCTGGTGGATGTGATCCGTTTCTGATAAAAAGCTATTAAAATTTCTTCTTCCCATTATATTCACTAATTTCACTTATGGATCTCTTTCCAATTAATATCTATTTAAATTCATTATTATCATCATAGAAAAAAAAGGTCCCACTTCACGTGATTCTTCCTCCCATGATAGCCAATAGTTTCTCAAGTTCATCTCTCTTTCCGGTAAAAAAATTGTTTAAATTTCCTGTTCTTCCGCTCTAGAGAAATTTTTTTCCCCATATGGATCTATTTCTGATAAAAATATATTCATATTTCTTCTTCCCATAATAGAAAAAAATAAATCCCACATTGACGTATTTCTTCCTCCCATAATAGCCAATAATTTCTCACGCCCATCTGTTCCTGAAAAAGATCTGTTTAGCTTTCTTCTTCTTTCCATTCTAGAGAAAAAAAATCCTTATATGGATCCAATTCTGATAAAAATATATTCATCTTTCTTCTTCCCATTATATAAAATAGCAACCCATGTGGATCTGTTTGTGATAAACCGCTTTTTAATTTTTTTATTTTTTAGCGTAGAATAATAATTTCCCATGAATCTAACCTTCTGCCTTCTACTTCAGGATATCTTGGAGACCACGGGACAGTTCGTGGATGGATTGAAGTTCACCGGGGGCTCATACAGCCTGGCGGCACGGTCTTCCATAAGAGAAATAATCAACATGGCTCATCAGCACAATGTCTACGTCAGCACTGGTGACTGGGCAGATCACCTTCTCCGCAGAGGACCCTCTGCCTTCAAAGAGTATGTGGAGGTCTGATGAGGAACTGCCAGAATAATCCCACATCGGTTGATTCAGCAAAACCCATTTTTTTACAGAAATTAGTTTATTTTTTGTTTTTTTCTGATGTGAGATGACTGCAGGAGTGTAGAGGGATGGGGTTTGACATGGTGGATCTGAATTCGAGCTCAATTAGGGTTCCTGAGGAAACCCTTCTAAGACTGGTCCGTATGATCAAGACTGCGGGTCTGAAGGCAAGGCCCCAACTTTCGTGGAAGTTTGATCCTGCCGAGGTTCCTGCAGGCGGAGACCGAGCGTTCGGAGCTTACATTGCTCCATCCCCTCAAAAATCTGGTATGTATTCATCTTGATGCTCCCTACTTCTTCTTCTTCCATTATTTTCTAGCAGAAATTCATCCCCTGTTGATGCCTGACCTGACAAAATTAAGCCCATATCGAGAAGTGATCTCTCTTGGCTGGGTTTGTGCTTCCATAGTTTCATATTTCTCTCTCTCTCTCTCTCTCTCTCTCTCTCTCTCTCTCTCTCTCTATCAATCTCTGATAGTTGAGGTCTCTGAACCTGTCAAGCTGGCTCAAATCCCATTTTTTCCCGGCCCATTCTCTCTGGCGAAAACTAGTAGCTAGCTGACAGAACATCCCCTTGGGTTGACAAAACTTCTCTCTCTCTCTCTCTCTCCCTATTTCTCTCTGATAGTTGAGGGCTCTCCCTATTTCTCTCTCTCTCTCTCTCTAATAGTTGAGGGCCCTGAACCTGACTTGTTGGCCCAAAAGGCCATTTTTTTTCTCTGACAACCATGGGTAGCGAGCTGACGAAACTTTTCCCCTTCGGGCTGACCACGCAGAGATTGTTGAAGACGTTGACTTCCTGATCAGGAAGGCCGAGAGGTGCTTGGAGGCGGGTGCAGATGGAATCATGATCGCGATCGACGGCGCGGAGTTGCCCACGGATGCCATCGCCAAGATCGTGGGGCGGCTGGGGCTGGACAGAACCATGTTCGAAGCCCTGGATGGCGGCGCCCCGGAGTGGTTTGTAGGGAGATACGGGCCGAGGGTAGAGAGATTTTCTTTTCTTTTTTCTTGGCCTGTTCGAGCCGGTTGACTTCTGCAGCGAGGTCCTGATGCTTTTATGGTCTGATTTCAGGTCAACCTCTTCGTGGATCATTCTCAGGTGATGGGTCTGGAATGCCTCCGAGGGCATGATGTGGGTGGGAGGAGGAGGCACCGGGCCTCTGGTGGTGGTGGTGGTCCCTCCTACTTTCTTTTCTGAGGTTTGCTCTGTTTTTGGATCACCTCTCTCTCTCTCTCTCTCTGTCTCTCTCTCTACCATCTGTCTTGGTTTGGCTGGGTAGTAGTCGATGCTCATGGGTTTGCAGTGTCAGTTCTCTCTCTCTCTCTCTCGCTCTCTCGCTACCATCTGTCTAGGTTTGTACAGTTGGTAGCTGGTGTTCATGGGTTTGCAATGTCAGCTCTCTTTCTCTCTCTCTCTCTCTGTCCCCCACCTGTCGAGAGAATACACGGTTTGCAGTGTCAGTGCTGTCTCTCTCCCCTCCCATCTGTCTACGATTATCAAGCTGCTAGTTGCTCTCTCTATCTCTCTCATATATCTCTAGTTGGTTATGTTCTTGGGTTTGGTCTCTCTCTCTCTCTCTCTCTCTCTCGCTCTCTCTCCTCTCATGATACACGTGTCTCAGTAAGCATTCCAACGGACGTATGTAGACGGGTCGGAATTCATACGTTGTACTAATACCTCTTCATCTTTCCAACATGCTCTCCAGCATCCATATATATATATAGATGATACTCTAAAGATATGGAACATAAAAATGGATACCCATTTTGCCAGATTAACCCAAACAAACACCCATTCACCTCGTTGACCTCAGAGATCATAGGATCTCCAAGGTCAACGAGGTGGGTCAATGCCCATACTATGCACTGGGAACCAAAGACCTTGCTCTTGATCATGATCATAATCGTAATAAAAAATCTCACCTTTTTGGTCCCAAAAAGTAAATTCTTGAACACTAATCCGATCTAGTAAGTTGACCTTCACTAGGTCAACTAGACTTCCCATTAATTAAAGCTCAAGTTTACATTCATAAATAAATGAATACATAAAATATGTCAGTATAAATTATTTATTGATTATTTAGCGGGTATTGTGGTATATTCTTAATAAAAGAGCTATTTTTTTCTGAAATATCTTTAGCCCTTGTGTGCATGAGACGGGTCAACGAGGTGGGTCAATGCCCGTACTATGAACTTGGAACCAAAAGGCCTTGCTCCTGATCATGATCGTTATCAAAGTCAAAATCTCCCCTTTTTGGTCCCAAGATGCCCATTCTTGCGCACTAATACGATCTAGTAAGTTGACCTTGAGATGGTCAACTAGACCTGCCATTAATGGGTATCTTAGGGGACTTTTCAGACCTCCCATTAGTTACATCACTCAACTTTACATTCACATATATATAAATAAAATAGACTTTATTTAGTGAGTGACGTATATATTCTTCATAAATTAACCTCTCTTTTTTTCTGGGATGGTTTTAGCCCTCGAGTGCAGCAGCTTTTCCACCCACCATCGTCGGAGGCGGCGGTTTCAGTGGCGGCGCCGCCGGATACCGGAGCTCGGAGGACCCATCAATGGTGGGTGAGTGGAGGCCAGAGACGTCGGAGATATTCCCTCCCTACACTGTCCATGGGGAATCTGTCCTCCCCCTTTCCTTTTTGAAAAGCCACCGGCGAATAAAGAGGAAGCAGGCGGCTTCTCCTTCCCTCACGCTGCTTCCAGACTGCCGGTCATGGCGGCGAGCGGCAGGTCGCTGGAGGTGGTCGCGGGGGACGGCAGCCCGAGGAAATGGAGCATGTCCCTCAAGGAGGACGTCTTCGCCGCGTTCCTCGCCGGAGACGATGGCGGCGCTGCCGCCCGCCGCGTCTTCGCCGAGGCCTCCCTCTTCAGCCCGCTGCTCTTCGGGAGCTTCTTCGACCCCGCCGATGCCTTCCCTCTCTGGGACTTCGATCCCGACGCCATCCTCGCCGCCCGCCGCGGCGTCGGGTGGTCGGAGACGGCAGCAGAGTACGTTCTCACGGCGGCGCTACCAGGCGAGCTCCCGATCTCTTCCCACTATCGCTCATGATCATCTGAATGCGGATTTCTTCCGTTGCTCCATCGAAATCCTTCGGCTCTCTCATTTCGATCGAATTCTCCGAACAAACCACAAAAATTCCTGCACAGAAAGCAACACATTCAGATCATTCGAGCGACTCCGCGGTTTCCGGAGAATCGACTCATTTCTTGTGATCTATAATGCTCCGGGATGGGATCATGTTGATGAACAGAGGCGGCGAGGGAAGATCTAGCGGTGGCGGTGGAGAAGGGGAGGGTGGTGGAGATCAGCGGCCGGTGGCGGCGGCGGCGGAGGCGAAGGGAGGAGGATTCCGGCGAGAGGAGCGACTGGAGGGCCGGGGAATGGTGGGAGCTCGGATTTGTCCGGCGACTGGAGCTGCCGGAGGATGCTCGCCCCGCCACGGCGGTCGCCGCCGTCGACGGCAGCGGCCTCTTGGAGATCAGGATCCCGAGGAGAAGCTCCTCGCCGGAGGCCGGCGGCGCCGATGGCCGTGCGGCGGAGCCCTAAAGTGACGATGGCGCTGGGGGTTTATGTGGAGAAGTCTTTCACTCGTGGTGATTCGGGGTTTGACCGACGGCGGTCGGGAGGTCTTCTTATCGACTAGAAGGGTCAATGGTGACGTATTTAATGGGTCCCACCACATGATATGGCATTTTCGTAATTAAATCTGTGATTCGACGAATCGGGGCCTCCAACTTCGCGCCTTTCGAGATATCTCGAACTCCTCTCACCCTCTCTTCCTCTCTCTACTGTCTCTGTCTCTGTACTTTCTCTCTCTACTCTGTACTCTCTCTCTCTCTCTCTCTCTCTCTCTCTACCGACAGTAACCCTAAGCTCGGGTTCGCCGGAGGAGAGTGACGAGGGCTGGTTGGGGGGATGGGGGGAATCCGTATCCCCATGAAAAAGCTTCACAATGGGAGCTCCGACCCCGATCCCCCGCCGGAGCTCTGACATTGGCCTCCATTAGATCAGGAAATGGTATCCGATCTCCCTCAAGTGAGCATTCAAAGCTCATCTAATGTAAGGTTTGATCGCTCGCCCCTTTTCTCCCTCCTGGTTCTCTCTGCATTTGGGTTGTCAGCGCGATCTCCATCGCCAGATTGTGATTTCGTCTGATTGCATGGACTTCATTTCGTGTTTGGGGGGGAACAGGGCAAGGAGAACGTAGATCACGCGCCGGCGTGGGAGAGGAGGATCGGAGAGGGGAATATGGTGGGTGCGGCCACCGCTGGATCTCGAAAGGGGCAGGAGCTGGCGGCGATCAATGGGGCCGCCACCGCCGTTCCGCCGGCAGGGGCGGCGGCGGGAAGTGACCCCGCCGTCGTGGGAGGTGAAGTCCTCGAGTTCAGCTCGAGGGAGGATGTGGAGCGGCTGCTCAACGAGAAGATGAAGGGAAAGAATAAAACCGATTACAAGGTGAACATTCTTCTTTCCGACGAAAATTTGCCCGGATTAGGGCTCTGAACCCTCTCTGTGATCCGTCTCCCGAGTAGGGGAAGGTTGAGCAGATGATGGAGTACATCAAGAGGCTCAGAAGCTGCATCAAGTGGTTCCAAGAGCGTGAGGATGAACTCGTGATCCTGTGCGATGAGCTCCAGGGTTTGATCGAATCTCATGAGAAGAGATACGCGGAGCTCGGTAATCAATAAAATACCTCAAAATCATATATCGGGACGGATTTCCTGCAAAGATATACGTACATGAAATGAAAAATCCCCCCATCGTTTGCTCTTTCACAGAGGCGCAGTCGAAGGAGAGAATAGAACAGTTGCAGGCGGCCCTCGACGAGCTGAAGCAGAGATATTCCTCCCTGGAGGAGAGCTGGGAGAACGACAAGAGAGAGAAACTGGTGAGAAGAGAATTCTCCTGGGAAGGTCCGGATTGCTCCCATGGATTCTAATTCTGTCAAGCATGCAGACTGCGATTGAAAGCTACACGCGAGAACATGAGGAGAGAAGCAGAATAGAGAAGCTGAAGGATGCTCTGGAGGAAGAGCTCAAGAAAACACAACAGGGGGCGTTCACCGCTGAACAGCAGGCAAATGATCATGCTGATGCTACTGCTGATAATAATAATAATAATAATAATAATAATAATAATAATAATAATAATAATAATAATAATAATAATAATAATACTAATACTAATACTAATTATTATTATTATTATTATTAAAAATTTAAGATTTACTAGGCTTCTCCTTATCGGTTGAAAAATTTACCAATTTTAATTTTTTTTACTAGGTGAAAAGTCTCCAGGACATCAACAGACGGCTCCAGGAGTACAGCACGAGCTTACAAGAGTACAACAGCAAGCTTCAAGGCGACGCCACTGTTAATGTGGAGAATATTTCTAGGTTGCACAAGGAAAAGACGGCTATGATGGAGGGGTTGAGCAGCTCGAAGGCTCTGTGCAGCGTGCTTCAGGATCAGCTCGCATCTCTCAAGGTGAGCAGTGAAGAATGCCCATGTTTTTATGTACCTTTCAGGAATGCTTTATGCTGGATCCTAAGATATGATTGCTACGTCTATGGTTCCTTGTGTTGCCATTAGATACAACTTCGCTGTGATGGGTAAATAATTTAATTCTCTTATTGGATAAATAAAGATTTTTTTTCAAATCAGTAATCGTACTCTGAAATATCAATTGGCATCAAAGTAATGATTAAACTTGAATCTATAATTTCTAAAAAAAGTACATTTTTTCAATAAGATAATTAAATTATTTACGCGATGGGCATGTTCTAAGCAGTATCTTTTAAATGAAAAACATATGTTATGTTATCTTATCTTATCTTATCAACTTTGGATTAGTGATGTCGCATGAAGCAGTGATGCAATCTGTTGATGGGATCATGACCGAGAATGTATATTGATAGCTAGCTGGCCTGTTCCTCATGAGACCTCTTTCATTGCACAGACTTCTGAGCAGGCGGCTGTGAAGGAGAAGGAGGAGCTAAGGACTGACTTGGAGCAGCTCCGCGGAGAGCTGAAGCTGGTGAGGGAGGATCGTGATCTGCAGCTGAGCAATGCTCAGTCCTTGGCTGCTGACTTGGCGATGTACAAAGATTGTACGGGGAAGTCCTCTGCTGAGTTGGCTGGTTTGGTGACCAGAAATGAAACCCTTGAGGTGGGCCCCTACTTCCCCAAGCTGGATGATCTAGGAATGTATGCTGCACCCACTAACGCTTAGCATACATTCTTGAAGGCTACATGCAGTGCACAGAGAGATCAGATCCAGTTGCTACAGGCCCAGCTTCATGTTGCAACTGAAAAACTGCAGGTTCCATTCCATTATGGGTTCCAGTCTTCACATTACTCTTGAATTTATTTTAAATTATCTGGGACGTTGGAAGTGTAAAAACATTGCCTTTGGATATTTATGATTATATGCAAGTTCATTTATTTTTTATTTATGATTATCTAGTCTTCATATGATCTTTGAATTCATTTTTCAATTACCCAAAGCGTGGGAAAATACCATAAATCCCAATTTTTTTAAAAAAACTCATAATATAGAGAGATGATGAACATGGGCATTGCTTATGATTATGCTTTGTAAATATCTCTTGTCAAAAAATAAATCTCATATTTGGAGTGATGATGATCATGGCTATTATTCTTGTTTATTTTATTTTATTTCAACCCCAGCTGGCCGATTCATCAGCCTCAGAGTCAAGAATGGAGTGTGAGAGTCAAAGGAGGATGGTCCAGGATCTGAAGAACCGGGTATTTGATGCGGAGCAGAAGATTCTCGAGGCTGAGAGGCTGCGGAAGAAGATGCATAACACCATCCTGGTACTCACAGCTGTCCATCTCGTCTGCCCATCTTTCCTCATATAGGCTCGGCCATTCTTCACCCGATCGATCTCACGCTACAGGAACTGAAAGGAAACATCCGGGTGTTCTGTCGGGTGCGCCCTCTGCAGATGGACTCTGACGACAGGGAATCGGAAACCACTGTGGTCTCCTTCCCCACTTCCATGGAGCTCCTTGACCGGGGCATTGACTTGCTGCACAATGGTACCTTCCTCTTTCTCTCTCTCTCGGGTTGACCACCCTAGATCATCATGCTATGAATGGTAATTGACTCTGATGCCCGCTTTGGTCAACAGGGCAAAACTATTCGTTCACATTCGACCGGGTGTTCAGCCACAAGGCCTCACAGGCCGATGTTTTTGTGGAGATCTCACAGCTGGTCCAAAGCGCTCTTGATGGCTACAAGGTTCCTCCTCCTCACCCCCCGGGCAACATCCTTGCCGTGTTGACCAGGAAGTCAATGCATGATGAGAAAAGTCAAACACTTCCTTGTAGGTGTGCATTTTTGCCTACGGTCAGACAGGCTCGGGGAAGACCTACACGATGATGGGCAAGCCCGAGGCTTCGGAGCAGGAGGGCCTGATACCTCGATCGCTGGAGCAGATATTCCAGGCTGGGCAGTCTCTCTCTTCCCAGGGTTGGAGGTATAAGATACAGGTTTGGGCCTATTCTTTTCATATTAAATAAAATCTCCAGACCTTGGAAAATTATACATATATCTATATATATATTTCCTTGGGAAATCTGCAGGCATCTATGCTGGAAATATATAATGAATCGATCAGGGATCTGTTGTCGGTGAGCCGATCCAACAGTCCAGAGGCGAGCCCGGCTACGGGGAAGCAGTATGCAATCAAGCATGATCAGAACGGCAACACGGTCGTCTCCGACCTCACGGTTGTGGATGTCTGCAGCATTGAGGAGGTCTCGTATCTCCTGCGCCGAGCTGCCCAGAGCAGGTGAATTTTCCTCTCCAATTCCATTTTTCTAATTTTTATATATTTTTATTTCTCTTGATAATTGGAATTGGTGATGTGGGGTTTTGATATATTTTGCGATGCATTCTGAAATTCCTTTTTTTTTTTAACTTTCTTTGCAAAATATATATTTTGGATTACTTTCTCAGATTGTATTCTCTGAAAAAAATTCCATGGGATTATACTTCACTGAAACATGCATATACTTTCAGAGAGAGAATAGAGAGAGAGAGAGATGGAGATAGATAGAGAGAGGAGAGAGAGAGAGATGAATTGATATTTTCTTCTGTGGTCTTCTTTCAGGTCCGTCGGCTGGACGCAGATGAATGAGCAGTCGTCAAGAAGCCACTTTGTGTTCACTCTGCGGATATCTGGGCTCAACGAGGTCCCCAGCATTCTCCATATATATATATATATAGAGAGAGAGAGAGAGAGAGAGAGAGAGAAATATTAATGGATTTATGTATTTGTAAATATATTCTCACCCATGGTTCGGGTGTTGATGGCAGAGCACCGATCAACGCGTCCAAGGGGTTCTGAATCTGATTGACCTGGCGGGGAGTGAGCGGCTCGGGAAGAGCGGGTCAACCGGTGAACGGCTCAAGGAGACCCAGGCACTTTCTCTCTCTCTCTCTCTCTCTCTCTAGAAAATATTTATTTATTTCTGATCTTGGTGAGGTCCATGCAAATAATGCTCTTCCCCTTCTTTAAAAATCTCAGTCGATAAATCGGAGCTTGTCGGCTCTCAGCGATGTCATCTTGTCCATCGCAAGGAAGGAAGACCACGTCCCCTTCAGGAACTCCAAGTTGACATACCTCCTCCAGGTCCTCTCTCTCTCTCTCTCTCTCTCTAGGCTGATTTGGAAAGTCAACTCATTTGTTCGTTTGTTTTCTCGTCACCATGGGCAGCCGTGCCTCGGTGGGGAGTCGAAGACCCTGATGTTCGTCAACATCTCCCCCGAGTCGTCGTCCACTGGGGAGTCAATCTGCTCTCTGCGGTTCGCATCTCGGGTCAACTTGTGTGAGATCGGGGTCCCTCGGCGGCAGGCCCAAGCCCGGGGGTTTGACTCCCGGATGAGCTATGGTTGACCTCCCTGGGCCACGTCTGACAGCTTCCTACTCCTCTAACACAGCATGTATAATCACGTACAATCCGCAGCAGTCGGCTTTATATTTATGCTCATCCTCTCAAATTTGGCTCCACATAAATTTTGCATTTTTTGGAGCCCAATTCGACTGGAAATATGCAAAATTTCTTCATCCTCATTAATGGCATTTTTTCTTTTTTTTTCTTATTATCAATCATTACGACTGTTCTTGCTGTTCTTGGAGCATCAAGGAAAGGGGTCAACAAAATCTGTTTTTTTTTTTTTTTTTGTTGAAAAATTTCACATCTTTTGGAGCCCAATTTGATAGGAAATATTTGCTAATTTCTTCATCCTCACAAACGACATTTTTTTTATAGTTATTATCAATCATTATGATTGTTCTTGTTATTCTTGGAGGATTAAGGGAAGTGGTCAACAAATTCATTTTTTATTTTTTATTTAATTTCACAATTCTTGGAGCCCAATTTGACAGGAAGTATTTGCTAATTTCTTCATCCTCACAAACAGTATATATATTTTTTGTTATTATCAATCATTATGATTCTTCTTGTTATTCTTGGAGCATCAAGAGGTCAACACAATCTGTTTCTTTTTTAAAAAAAGAAAAAAATCATATTTTTCGGAGCCCAATTCGACAAGAATTATGCATAATTTCTTAATCATCATTTAATGGCATATTTTATTTATTTTAGTTATTATCAATCAATATTTCATGATTGTTATTCTTGGAGCATCAAGCGAAGGGGTCAACAAAATCCGGTTTCTTTCTGAAAATTTTCCCATTTTTCGGTGCCCAATTCGACAGGAAATATTTGCTAATTTCTTCTTCCTTATATTAATAGCATGTTATTATTACAAGTCATTAAAATAATAATAATATTGTTTTCTTATAATAATAGTAATAATATGTATAGCATCAAGGGGCCAAAGAAATATAATGTTTATGCTGTAGATTTCATAATTTTGGAGCCTAAGTCGAGAGGAAAGATGTTAATTGCGCCATTATTATTATTATCAATCATTAAACGGGGATGATTCATTCATTTATCATCTCAAGAACTACATCAGTATTATTATTATTATTAATATCAATCATTTTTGATGTTATTATGAAAATAATTCCACATCTAGCAAAGAATTGGGATCTTGGAACTTAAAACTTGGTTTTATTCTCTCAATTCAACTACAATATAAATCATTAAACTGATACGATTCGTTCATTTGGTGTCTACTTTATCATGAACAAGATAGAAAAAATATATAAAAATAATAATAATTGAGAATTAGGGACTGTAGGGTGACACTACATCATCATCATAAATCATTCTGAATGTTATTATGGAAAATATAATTCCATAACTAACAAATACTTGGGATCTTGGAATAAGAACTTGGTTTATTTTTGATATTTTATCTGTATCAAAAATCATTTATGTAACATATTTATCATGGCCAAGAGAGGAGAAAAATATAACAAAAAAAGCGATAAACAATTGGGAATTGGGTATTGTAGGGCTTTACCCTGGGTTAGAGGGAGCCCTTCCAGAAATTCTCGACGGCCCGGTTAGGGGCCGAGGAGGGGGTTTGGAAATAGTTTTCAACCAGCAATTGACGCGACTCGGTTATAACCTCACTGCCTGCGTCATTGCCCCAAGCGCAAAGATATTCAATTCGATGCCCCCTGTCCCCATTTTATAGACCAACGTGGGAGATATAATGCAAAAAATCCAATGTGGGACTATTTTTCTTGCCCTCACGGGCGATTCTCTGCTCTTCGAGCTCGGAAGGAGCATCCATGGATGAATGATAGGCGGGGGGTTCCACCGGGATGTCTTCGTTCTGGAGCTCGCTCCTCTCCCCGGCGGTGCTGGCGGCGCCGCTGGCGGTGCAGGGGATTCTCTGGTATCGGGGGTGTACAGCTCCGGGGACGCTGGCGAGGGGCTGAGGCTGTGCCGACGGGCGTGTACCATCGTCGCCGCCGGAGAGCTGGCGGTGCTGCAACTCGGGCGGAGCTTCCACGGCTGCGCCCTCCGCGAAGGCTTCCTCCGACGGGCTTTTCCTCCTCGCCGGCGCCGGAGAAGACGGCGGCGACGGCGGGTCCTGCTCCGCCATGGTTTCTTCAGCGGGCTGGGCCCGGACGGCGCCGCCTACACCGCCGCCTACACCGCCGCCCTCTCTGGCTGCCGGCCACTGGAGGTTTTTAGGAGAAGGGAGCCGCTGGAGGACCCGGAGGCGGCGGCAGCGGCGGCGGCGGGGCACTTCGCCGCCGTGGTGGACCTGCTGGACCGCCGCCGGGAGGCTGGAGGAGGATCTGGAGGTGGCGGCGACGGCGGGCAGCGGCCGCTGGGGAGGTGTGGGCGGCGTTGGTGGGGGCGTGTGAGATGCATGTTGAGGTTGAGATGGCGAGGCGGCGGAGAGGGCGTGGGGGGAGGAGAGAGAGAGGGGGTGTGTGTTTCTCCCTAGGACAGAAAGATGGAGAGCGATGGGGAAGGGAAGAGAGCAAGGAGAGATGGGAGAGAGAGAGAGAGAGACGTGGACGAATGACAGCGCCCGCCGCAAAATGGTTACCGATCACCACGTCACGTGGCAGTCGACGTCAGGGTGGGTTGGAATCTGCCGATGATAATTTACGGGGGCATATCATGAAATATAACTCAGCACTGGGTATAACAAAATCGGTAATCACTCGAAAGGAAATTGGGATGGACTGGGTCGAGGATTATCCGGCCCATTAACTGCTTTCAAGCAGACACCGGATATGGTCACGGAGTGTGACTTTAGGGTATCATTCACCAAGAGACGACAATAGATATAATAACCTTTCGTGGTGGATGAAGACCAACACCACACGCTTCCTTCTCCGCATCTTCGCCCCTCTTCTTCTCATCATCGCGAACGAACTCCGAAGGGCGGAAAGCTAGGGGCGTCGCCGGCGGCATCCGGCGAGACTGTGGCGGGTTAGAAAGTGGGGGATCTGAGATGGGCGCTGCTGAGAATCCTAGTTGGCTTTTTGATTGTCCGCTGATGGAGGAGATCCCCGCCGAGGAGGGTGATTTGATCGGCGGGGGCGGAGGATTCTTCTGGCCGCCCCAGGGGTTCAATGGGGCATCCAATCCTAGGTTCGTCGAATTGGAGATGTTTTGTTATACTGCGTGTCCTTGCTGTCTGTTTTTTCTAATTTCCGAATGGGGTGCCTTTGGCGCACGTTTTTCGAGGATGATTTCATCTCTACATTCGTTCTCATTGGTTCTTGGATTCAATCTAGGCCTTTTTTTCTCCCGGAAACTCCGGGATATGTTGTGCAATTGTGTTGGTATTATCCGGCTGTGTTTTTCCTAGGGGGAATCCTTCTTTAACTTGGCTAGCTTGAAATATTCATTGTTATTGGGCAAAATTGGCACACCAGTTGGGGTATATGCTTGATTAATTGTTGTATTTGGGTTTCCCTGTTACGGTGAATCTTGTCAGTTTGTTCGCCGTGAAATCGACTCTTACTGGTTATATGCATTGTGATATCAATTTGGACATTTTTTCTGCTCGTGTCTCATTTTTTGCTGCATGGAATTTCTCGGCCAAACGAACGACTGATCAGGAATTTCATTCACAACAAATCTGGAATGATCATAATGCAAAACAATTTGAAGCGTCTGTTCTTGGCTCAGCGTTCATTCCATTGGATTCTTTATCTAATCTCGGAAAAAACAAGAAAGGAAAAGGGAAAGAAAAAAATTAGTGGGGTTTCCTGCGCCCTGGTTTCATAAATTTTGGGGATGTCATCTTGGTCTGCATTCACAAGCTACAACACTTGTTTGATGATGCCGATACTTATACATCTTCTGATGCTCATGGGAATTTATTGGTTCATGTCTCATGGGGTAAATTTTCAAGGATTTTCTCCTCCATTGTGATCTCATGCTTCGAATTTTTGGGTTTTGAAATTATTCTAAATGTCTTGGTCTATTTAAATTACTGACTCTTTTTCCATGATTTTTTTGGTAACTGTCAACTTATCCTTGCTGGAAGACTCGTCTATTCGACTTTTCCATTGATTGACCAGTGCACTTGATTACCTCAGAGCTGCTCCCATCTACTAGACTCTTTCTATTCATACTGTATATGCACCTTATCACTTGTCTTGCATTGTGGGCGATGATTTATGAAATTTCTTTGTTCAACCCTCTCTTTTTTGTCTGAACATTCAAGCTCTGTCTTCTTGTCCACAATATCCCAAGTGATGTCGTGCGTGAATCATTGATGAGTTGTTACATGTTCCAATGAATGTGGGCCAAGTGACAATAAACTTTTCTCCAGGGTTCACACAAGAAGCCCAGTAGTTCATCACCTGCCCTCTAGAGTTTCTGTACAATCACGATATTTCCTTTTAGGACCTAAATCTCACTTCCTCTTGTATACCAACGTTGCCTTTACGCAAAGATCTTTATTGTTGAGGTAGTAATGAATTTCCTCAAAAACTGTATAGTTACCATGTTAGTTATGCTTTTCCCCACCCCCCAAATGTGATAAATTTCAATAATTTTTTTCTTGTATTGAGACTGATGTTGATTACTATAGGTTCTTGTGATTTTTCTCCAGGGAATTATGAGCACAAAGAAGCTTCTCTTCTTAAAATGGATCAAGTAATATTTTGGACGCATCAAATAGGCAATCTTTTGGATTTCATTTCTTACACCATCGTGTTTGGAAAATGACAATAAAAAAACCCTGCAAGTTTGTTTTGATGAACCTTTTCTACTTTGAAGTGACGCAGTGGAAATTGGGGGGTTTTGAAGATTTGAGCCTTGAATCGACAAGACACGAATTTGGGAGATTGAAATCAGACCTTGAAACCACAAGGCACGATTTTCCTGATCCTTGAATCCACAAGGATGGCTTGGATGACCCTTGAATCCACAGGGATCAGAAATACGCCCTTGAGTCCACAAGGGTTGATTTAAATGATCTTTGAATCCACTAAGACAAAAAATGTCCCTTGAAGCCACATGGGTTGCTTGAATCCACAGGCACTTAGAACTCTCTCAAAGAGAACGAATATTCGTAAAAATCAGGATGCTTCTGGGGTTACAACATTTTAGCATTTAATAGGCTCAAATTAGTTGTAACTCTCCTTGAAAATAGATATGTTACAAGAACAAATTCGAAACGACCTAGGAGTAAGTTAATTACTGTACTAACAACTCTGATGCATTATTCGTGCAGTTTTTTTGGGCCTAGTCTGTTTTTGTGCCTTTTTTGGGTCTTCTGATCTTTGTAGCCCACACTTCATGTTTTTGAAGGGCTTTCCTTAGTTGTCCGTGCTGTTATACATTAATGTCTTCGTTTTGGGCCAATTTACATCTAGAGTTCAAAGAACGTCTTTATTGTTATCTCAGCTGAGAAGAAAGGGAGCTTGTTTTCTGGCGATGCTACTCCTGAAAAGTAATTCAACGAATTAATTCCCCTCCCCACCTCTGTGGGAGGTGTTGTTTTTTATTATCTTCTCTTTTGTTCTTTTCTTTTCCCTTTTATTTTTTGTGTGTGACCTTGAGGCAGTTTTGAAGGCAGTCGAATTTAAAACTTGCAGGTTTTAAATTCGTTTTCTAACTTATTTCACGTCTAACTGGCAGAAGTTGTTTGAGTATTCTGGTTTTCATTCATCCCAAGTACTCTGATTTGATATCTGTCTTCTTATGATATGATCGCTGTCATGTCTTTGAAGTTTCGATGCATTGGACCAATAGCAAACATCCACACCACCGAATCTGTGGAGATGAACGGCAGAAATCCCAGAACTCTTCTTCCGTCCTTTCCCTTTTTTAAATCTGCTTCCTGTCCAGCACGAGAGTATATATTTTCATTGCCACCGCCATTACCATGATGGTACAGAGGATTTAGAGCAAAGAAGATCTAGTCTTACAAAGGATGGTGGAATCTCAGAAATGGAATGGATGGATGGATAGATGGATAGATGGATAGATGGAGGTTCTAACCATCATGAATATGCTCATTGTGAGCACGGTTTCCCCTTGAACGGTGGAAGATATTACTGGGTCCTTTGTTAGCCGCAATACTCATAAATTTATAATGGCGGATGATCAAATCTTGCTGTAATCTCTTTTTTTTTTTTTTTTTTGCTTCTTTTGCATGCCTTCTCACTGGTTCTCTTCTCTTGCAGCATTGGATTTGATGGCTCTGTCGATTCTGACAGCTCGAAAGAATTACCATCTCGAAAGAGGTGATTTTTTTTCTCTCTCTCTTAAAAATTAATGGATGGCGGGATTAGGCTGCCGCTTGTGGCTCTTCTCTCATCATGACAAAGAAGGGTCAACTTTTACAGGGCGAGGCCAGAATCCTCTAGTGTACCCAGCACCAAGGCATGCAGGGAGAAAATGAGGAGAGATAAACTGAACGACAGGTACATCCATAGCTTCTCTCCCTTGAATCAGCACCATCACTCTCTCTCTCTCTCATATGCATTGGTTCTCGGTTGAAAAAAAAAAAAAACAGGTTCCTCGAGTTGGGGGCTATACTGGAGCCTGGGAAGCCACCTAAAATAGACAAGGCGGCCATACTGAGCGATGCTGTGCGGATGGTGAATCAGCTGCGCAGCGAGGCACAGAAGCTGAAGGAGGCCAATGAGAGCCTCCAGGAGACTATCAAGGAGTTGAAGGTCGGCCCCCCCACCCCCCTCTTTTCCTTCATCCCACTTTTTTTCCTTGATACTTGTCGACAGAGCCTTCTATGTACCTACATACGCACATACATGAGCATATATATACACATACGCATACACTCACCTTTTCCATATACATACTCTGACATGGGCACATATACGGACATTCGTATGATTCGTATGCAGATAAATACATAAACCCATTGAATGCATATACGCATTCATACACATACATAAATATACAGTTGCATCTTCTAACATGTATGTATACACGTACGCATGTGTTCAATACGCTTGTATGTGCATACTCTTACATGCATGTTGGTCACATACAGACATAAACTCACATGGACATACATGTACATATAGTTTAGAGGGTGGGCCAAGCTCTGGGCCCACCGGGTCCATCCACAGGCCCCTCCCATCTTCCGTGCGTGCCGAAACTTTCGAGAACGTTGACTTTGGTCGTTTCAATGTCGGGGGCATCGATCTTCTTTCTTGTGCTGTTGTTCTTATTTCTGGGCTTCTTAGCTTCTGCTTGGGGGAGTGGGGAGATGCTCATCACATTCAATGTTGCAGGCCGAGAAGAACGAGCTCCGGGACGAGAAGCAGCGGCTGAAGGTGGAGAAGGAGAGCTTGGAGCAGCAAGTGAAGGCCATGAGCGTGCCGCCAAGCTATGTTCCCCACCCGCCGATGATGCCTGCCGGGGCATTCCCTGTGCCGAGGCAAGCTGCCGGCGGCAACAAGCTGATGATGCCGGTGATCGGCTTCTCGGGCTATCCGATGTGGCAGTACATGCCGCCGGCAGATGTTGACACCTCCCAGGATGTGGAGACGTGCCCGCCGGTTGCCTGAGCCCTGGAGGACTGGTGGTGGTGGTGGTGGTGGTGGCGGCGGTGGCGGTGGTGGCAGGAATTGGCGGAGCTGCGGATTCTTCAAGACACCAGTTTTTGGTCAGTGAATGGCGGCAGCAGATATAATGAATGGATGTCTTATAAGCTCGGAAATTTCGGCGGCGAATGTTCCCGGGGAACGTTCCTGACACTTCGCTGCGGTAATGACTCTCTCTCTCTCTCTCTCGCTCTCTCTCTCTATATCCTCTTCTTTTGTGTGTGTGTGTGTGTGTGTGTGTGTCTCTCTCTCTCTCTCTCTCTCTCTCTATCCTCTTCTCTGTGTCTTTCTCTCTCTCTCGCTCCCTCTCTCTGTGTCTTGTATAAGTTGACTCAGTAGATCATGTAATCAGTAATGTTTTTGCTTGAACTAACCTTGATGTTATCTAATGGTATAATCAAGATCATGACGATTATGATCAATTCAATAAGTGACGCCAAGTTTAAATGAAGATGGCGACGGTAATGTTTTACTTTTAAATAAATGGGCCTTTCTTTAGTTTTTATTGAAGATGGGAATTCTCCTAGAACCCAGTGTTATTTCTTACCAGTCTCCTCTCTCTCTCTCTCTCTCTCTCTCTCTGTGTCTCTCTCTCTCTAATTCAATGTGTCCCGGCTCATTAGCACAGAGCCCGTTTCACTTGGTTACGCACGTCTCCATTGCATGAGAATGTCAGAAATTTCTGTGAGGTTTTATGTACGTCTCTCACTCTTTCTGTCTTCTCTCTCTCTCTCTCTCATTGTATGAGAATAGCAGAAGTTTCTCTATAAGGTTTTATGTACGTTTCTCACTCTCTCTCTCTAACAAAGAGCTATAAACTTATATAATTCATTTTTTTAATTAATTAAAGTGCCCAAATTAATTAAATCCACGAACGCTGAAACCTTCAATCCTTAACGACTCGTTGAAATGACGGATGAATCTACTAAGGTTATATGGAGGTGATTGAATCTATTACTAAAATGAGAGGAAAATGTCAAACAAAGAAAAAAAAAGCGTGCTAACAGCCTAAAAAATGTGTCAATTACTAAAATTGGGTCTAAAGTGCGCCTTTCCTAGGTCTAAATATATATATATATATGTTAATTACTAAAAACTGACTTTGACTAATGTCACACGCTTTATTTGGGATCAATTAGGTTTTACGCCTGGCCCACAAGTTTTGGGCCGCCTGGGTCAAGGACTCTTCTCTCCTCTTTTGGCCCACCAAATCTCTCTCTCTCTCTCTCTCTCGCTCCCTCTCTCTCTTGGGTGTACTCAGAGCCTCGCAAAAATCCACGATTGGTGGATAAGGCCCAGGTTTCTATATCTGGGCTGCAAGAAAAAGAAAGATATTCCTCCCTTTAAAAATTTATAAGACCTCTAGTGAACTTGGCCCAATTCCGCGGTCACGTGCACTGAAAAAGACAGAACTTTCCCCCAGCGTTACCATCATCTCTCCCTCTCTCTCTCCGATAAGTAAAGCCCCGCGTGTCTCTCTCACTCTGGACCACACACATTTGTCTGACCTTGGGAGGGGTTACGGTAAGATCTACGAATCTGCCCTCTTTTGTCGTTCAGGTGCATCAATCTGCGGTAAATCTCCCCCTCCCCCGTTGAGGCGGGAATACTGTGAACCTTCGTTGCCTAAATATCCTCCTTCCGATGAGTAGAGCTTGCGACCATGTTCATGGAGCTGCATTCTAGATGTTGCCTTAAGAGGGCCTCAAGCTACAGGGTGGAGAGAGGAGAGAGAGAGAGAGAGAGAGAGACAGCCGTCCGTCCGGCGTACCTCTTCGACCAGGACAGCGTGCGATAGCTCTCCGACAGATTAACACAGCATCTGCCTCCGCCGTTGCCTTGTCTGGGCAACGGCGGGGCCCTTGTTCGTCCCCCTCCGATGAGATAAAAGACAATTTGGGTCACGAGGAAAGGGACAAATCTGTATATTTCACGCTCAATAAATATTTGCCCAGTTCTCACCCCGAGCGTAGTTTTATTTCCAATTTTTGTAATATTCTGAGGATAAACTCCAACTAAGTAAGTTGGAATAAGATCCCTCACAAATTAGATCGAGTAAAATCACGTGCTCGAATATATGTATTTAACGAGGACTCTTCACATTGTCATCAAATTTTGAGAAAGCCCATTATAATCTGTGCTCTTAGAAAAGATGTTCCTAATTTTTTTTACTATATTTGGACAAGATATCCAGCCCAGCAGAGATTTTATTGCAAATTATCCTAATAAAACCATTAACAAATAAATTTAATCGTATAATATCCTCCTAAAGAAAAAAATATTTATGCCCAAACTCTCCTATCGAAAATCTATAGAATCGGTGCTCTCAGCTGTCCTGTGGTGAACGAGGCCATGAGAAAATCCAGTTGCAGACCATTGTAACTGAGTTTACTCCTGAAGTATGCTCCTAAGGGTGTACAATTTTACAAGAGAACTCTCAAACCACAGCGGTGTGCTCCATCGTCCATCCCTTTCGTTACACTGTGATCGAGAAGAGGACGAACCACGGCTCAACAATGACCGGCAGCTTGCTGATACAATCCCCCCAGAAACACAGAACACCACAGAAGAAGAAGAAGAAGAAGAAGAAGAAGAAGAAGAAGAAGAAGAAGAAGAAGAAGAAGAAGAAGAAGAAGAAGAAGAAGAAGAAGAAGAAGAAGAAGAAGAAGAAGAAGAAGAAGAGCTCAAAGGAGGTGGAGATGGGGGTGGAGGAGGAGGGAGAGATTTCAGCAGGGAAGTTTGAAGCCCAGGCTTCTGCCGTCCATGTAGTCCTTCCATATGTCGATGATCCCGAAGCCGGTGATGGAGATGGAGCTCAACACCATGACGGTGCTCAGGGTGAAGATGATGAGGGAGGCTCGGCCGTACTTCCCGACGGCTCTTTGGATGAGGATCACCCCAGCCATGGAGGTCACGGAGCAGCCGGCGGCCATGAGCAGCGCCTGGTTTACCTCCTTCATCCCCAGCATCAAGTACTGCATCGAGGACATTGATGCCGAGAAGAAGACCATGAAGCAGCTTGTAGATGCCGTAATCTGTCCATAAACACAGAAGATTCCGTCAGCACGATTGCGAAAGAAAAATATTATTATGTTTTAAACTACAAAAAATATCGATAAGTTGTAGTAGATTTATATGGGATTGAAAATTACAGGAAAGTTGGGAGAGAAGATTGGAGCAGTATTAAATCTCTGAACCACGAATATGAATGGTCGAAGGAGTGTTTTAAATAATGTGAATACTTGTAGTTGCCACTAAAATAAAACATTTGAAAGATACGCATGAAGTCAAGAGATTTGAGGTTGAAGATGCTCTAAAGTTTTGTTTAATAAACTTGCAGTTAGAGACACGCGCTAGAAATTTATAAAGCCTTCTCCCTTGAAATCTATGAACTCTGAGCTGGAAGGAGGAGGGGTTCACCTGAGGGGATATTCCAATCTGAAGAAGAACGGGATTCATCAGGAGTCCACCGCCGATCCCAAAGAGCCCCCCGAGAACGCCGGCCAGGAGCGCTGCTATAGGAAATATGATCTTGGGTAGATCTTCGACCACCGTCTGTGGTACATCAAAACTCTCGGAGCATCAACCCATCAACCCACGAACATATTTTTCCAAAATAATTCTTCTGGATGCAATCTTTTTTTTGAGAAATTAGATCACCATCAATCCAAAACTCTATTTTCCCAAAAATAATCATTCTGGGTAATTATAAAAATGATTAAATTATCCTTTTTCCCGATAATATCATCTGTGTTCAATCCATTAATTCACGGGCCTTTTTCCAAATTAATTCATCCGGGAGACAATAAATATCAATGAATTGGACAAAGTATCAGAGTCTTTCCGATTCGCAGACCTTGTGATCGTCTCCCTGACGGCGGCGCCGTCTCTGCTGTCGATCATTTGCATACATAATATATGTAGTGAAGAGGAGGGCAACTGGGACTTGGGACGAGGTGGTGAGCCAGTACCCGAGTCCACATCGCTTTATCTTAATTATACCCTGCAGTTAATTTTTTTTCACAGGGGTAAAATAGACTACCTGAGAAGATGCTCAAATTAAAATAGAAGCAAATAATCTTCAGAGATATTTCTACTGATGGACGGTTCCTGGCATTCCAGTAGCCAACAGCCGTCCCACTGATTTCCTACTTAATCAACGACACGCTGTTTATAAATATAATGGTCGATTATTTATATGAATTATTAATATTTTATTTTTTATGGCACTTTTATCGGGAATAATAGATTAGAACTATTCCTTGAAGATCAGATAGGGGCTCAGTGGAGATGCCCAGGAAGGAAGATTCTATTTGGGCAAGTTCTCCGAGAAGAGGACGGATGAACTGGCTCGGTGAGACTGGTTAAAGTACGTTCCTGTAGCTGTCTTCTGATAGTGAGCAATCTCAACAGTGGGTCCCCAATCAGATCAGATCAGATGATCAGAGAATCAGCCAAATGGCCGGGGAAAAAACAAATAGGGTATTTAAAAATGTATTTTTTAGAGGAATTCTGACGTGTAAAAAGATGATCAGCTTGAAGGAATTATGCTAGATTTCGTCCAATTTTCAGCTCTTTGGATGCTGAACACCCGAGGGGATGAAGGAGGGGTCATGATTCTCTTCCGAGGATTGATGTTTACACCGGTGAATACGGGTGTGACAACTGTTCCTCAGGGATGGAAGGAAGCTCTGCCCGAGCGTTAGTCGCGGCGCTATCATGGGTCAGTGAGAAAATAGAACAAGGGGGATACGTCTCACCTTCCCGTCCTTATCTCATGCGGGGGCGAATCGGGGAATAGCAGGAGGAGATGAGGGATTGATGATTACCGTCTTCAGAGGTTTGATGGCTAGTTTCTCGTGGTTCAGTTAGGAAACAGATGATGAAGAAGAATAAGTCAGAGACCTCACCTTCCCTTCCTTATCTCCTCTGAGGAATTGCAGGAGGAAGAAGCAAAGCCAGACCATCAACAGGAACGCCACCTTCTTCAAGGGGAACCTCCTCGGAGGCCCTCCCTCCTCGGGCAGCAGAGGCTTTTCCAAGTCCTTTCCCCCTTCTTCTACTCCGCCAACCTTCTCCCCTTTCTTCTCCCTCATCTCCTCCGATTCCTCCCTCCACCGCCGACCCCCCGCTCTGCATGTCTTGAAAGTAGATCCGGCGAGGATGACGACGAAGAGGAGCGTCACCAGCCACTCGGGGAAGGCGATGTTACAGATCACGCCTAATGTTACCCCCAGCAGCATGCACGGCTCCGACAGCAGCGCGATGTCGTAGTCGATCAGGTGCCCGCCGCCGGCGCCGGTGCTGGCGGAGAAGACGCTGTACAGCACGTTGGAGGCGGCATTTCCGGCCACCATGAAGGCAGAGTACTTGGAGGCCCTCTTGAGGTCTATCCTCGCCACCAGGTTCAGTATGGGGAGGAACAGCGACCCGCCGCCAACCCCGCCGGCGCTGGACACTCCGGCGGCGACGAAGCACAGCGCTGCCGCCACAGCCATCCGCGGGCCCCCCTCCCCTTCGGATTCTCCACCCCGTTGGCTCCTCCTCCTCCATTGGAGAAGCTTGTCCAAGGAAGATCGCAGAGAATAGGATTTTGAAGTGGGCTCCATCTCCTCAGCCATAGCCACGAGGACGGAGCTGACGGTGGCTATGGAGATCGAGAGGAGAAGCCACCTGTTGAAGACGAAGCGTCCCGTCATGCTGGCTCCTTGTCCTTCCCTCCCCCCTCCCTCGCCCTCTCGCTTCTCCTATTTAAGGTCCAGAAAAAGAAGGACAGTGGCATATATTCATATTATTTGGGGTTTTTAATGAATGAAAGTCATCTTTCACGGGCTTTTGAAATAATTTCCCACTCCCAACCACGTAACAACCGTCGGAACCGACATTTTGGGAAACGACAGTTATTCTATTCTATCCAGCCGTCCCTCTCTCCTCCCCCCCGCGGCTGTGGGGAATTGGTAAAGAAATAAAACAATAATTATATTGGCGGCCGGAATTTCGAGGGGCTTATACATAAATGCCCCATCGCCAATGGCGGCCGGAATAGGAAGGAGAAGAGGGAGCTGCCCCCCAACTGCTGCCACACTGATTGGCGGCGCCGCCGGTTTCATCGGCGGACGGAAGAGAGAGAGAGAGAGAGAGAGAGAGGCTGTCCCGTAGATGACGAAAACAGACGAGGACGTGGTACGGAACCGTGCTTCTTAATTCTGGGTCAACCATATCAAAGCTCTGACTTACCCGGCCTTGCCAGCTGCGGGCTGAACGGGCCGGACTATTTTTCACATGGGCTTTATTTGAAGCCTAATTAATATAGAAATAAATTAAAAGGCTATTAATTAAATTTGGAGTTTTTAAAAAACTTTTTTGAGGAACAATTGTAAGGATCAATTGTTGACGATATTAATATTGATCACTGCAAGGATCAATTGTTGAGGATAATATTTTATTATATATTTAATAATAATAATAATGATAATGATGATGATAATAATAATAATAATAATAATAATAATAATAATAATAATAATAATAATAATAATAATAATAATTTGCTATCAAATGAGTTTTATCTGAGAACCCAATAATAGATTCACAGAGCTAGGTCTCGGGCATGACGGCATATTGTGTTAATGGGCCGGAGTTCATGGATGGGCCAAATAATCATGGGCTTGTGGCCCGAGATGAGGAGCCCAAACTCACACGCCTTACAACTTCTTGCACAGCAAAGCTGTCGCCCATTGGCAAATGACTGGTGTTTCCCAAACCCACACGTGCTCTGCACACATGGGAATTTACTCTAGCAATGAATCCTTGGCGTACAAACCATAGGTAATCATGATGGAAAAATATTAATAATGATGGAAAAATAAGTTAAAAAGGGCAGTGTTTAAATTTTAAGTTTTTTTTAATTTTCATCTGGGTAATTAATATTGATCACTCTCTAGGATCAATGGGTGAGGATATTATTTCATTATCTATTTACTATTACTACCAATACTAAAAATAATCCATATGGTAGAAACTTGATACATGAACCATACCATGGTCAATCAGATATGAGACAAATCACCATGTCTTAGATGTGATGAACTATGTACACATAATTTTTTGTATAGAATATTCGTCCACTGCCTGAATTTTTGTTGTAGAGAAGTTGCACCACGTAGAAGACACTGTGTAAACGTCAAAGCTAGTGCCTTTCTTTATTTTGAATAATTTGAGTAAATGTGTCTTAGGAGAAACCAATTAAGTAGGCCTGGATGACCAATTAGGATGATTTATATAGCCAACAAGTGTGGCTATGTTACTTTGAAAAAAACATGAAAAATGATGCCATGCATGAAAAATTATTTAACATAAAAATAATGTTTGCCCCACGATTTTCTCATCAAATGGTGGGCAGGGATACTTCACAGATCAACTGCTACCTAAAGCGGCAAATACAGAGTATTGTAGATTACGATTGGTTTTTTATTTTCCATGTCCACACGTGGGAAGCTCTTTCAGCTATAAAAGTAATGGCTGGACTGAAATCAGGAGAGAAGAAGAAAAAGAAGGCACCATCTGGACCACTAAAATCACATGAAAGATCTAAGTTGGGCTATCGGTGACTCACCCACACCAAACCTTGAGAGGGTACGGTCTTCCCTTCAAGCTTGCAAAGAATAAAGGCAGACATCATGGTAAAGCATAAAGGAGAAACCATGATTTGTAGATACTGGAATCTTTATGAAATAAATTGTCTTATGAGGACACAATCCCTGGAGAAATGAATGGCCAGCAGGCTGAGATGCCACTGAGCATGAAGATGATTGACAGCATATTTGACTGCCCTTTTGCATCACTTTATGAGCTCAACACACCGAAGCCCAATATGGAAACACCTCAACACTTCATGAACCGAGGAACAGCCCACAAGCCTTTGTCTAACATTTTGCAGCACACCGCTTGTTTCAGTGATCCTATGTTTATTTGTTCACATACATAATGAGACCATCTTAATAGGGGACCTCACATGAATGGGGATTCATGCTTCAAGATGTTGTTAGCTTCCAAGTCTCCATGAGTAATTTCCAGATGAGAATCCATGTGGAGATAAAGGAGACCCAAGGGATTCTTTCTATGATCTTTCCAATTGAATTCTTTTGATTTAACCATAGGAATAGAAACTTGAAATAGATGATAAAGCCATACCAAAAACAAAGGAGAATGTTTTGGAGGATAAAGGAGCAGTGCTGGAGTCTCATGAACCCTAAAAAAACGAGAGATAATAGCTTCAACAAACTCAATTAAATGACAACAAATATATTTATATATACGTCATATGATGAGAGAGAGAGGACAAAGTCATCAGCATGGCATCGACTTTCAACAATCCTCCTTGATGCAAACCTCATGATTCCAAATAATTCATGAAACTTGATAAAATTTGACTAGTTAGAGACCTTTGTAGATCCATCCACAACTTGATCTTTTTCTAAGAAAAACTTTATCTTGATTAAATCTAAAACAACTTGATCATGTATAAAATAATGAAAAATCTCAACATATTTAGTTCTGCCATGATACATTAGGTTATTGATATGGTTGACTTATTGTCATAATATACCTATGTTGAACTTAGATTATGGAAAATTAAATTTTTTCATGATCCACCTCATCCATATAAGTTTTTGTGTAGTTGATACTATAACAACATATTCAGTCCAAATGATGCTAATATTGTGGTTTCTTATTTTTTTGAACTCCAAGATGTTGGGTTTTGGCCTACACTAAGATCAAGAAGAAGGGGGTGGTTGAATTGATCACCTTTTTCTCCTTAGATAAGAGCTTTTAAAATTTACTTTTTCTAAGGATATTGTGTAGTTGGATTTCTTAATTCACTCATATGCTTGTTGCATACATCCATTCATATTGGGTACCTTATTATAGTGGTTCAGCTCATTGCCTTCATCTATTTTCCAAGAATGAACTTGTTATTCAGTTCCACTAATTTTAATTGTTTGACCACAACTATTGATTAATAAGTTCAACTCTCTTAAATATTTATCTAATTTTTTTTTCTAGATTTATGACTCTTGGAAGTCACATCGCTATTTGATTAGTACAACTCCCTAGAAATTTCACCTATAAATTTTCTTCTAGATTCATGGTTCTAGGAGGGTGACTATTGTTTATGGGCACAACTCCCATTTATAACAAATAAGACTTTAACATCACATTTATTCTATAACATATAATGAAATTATCACTGATTACCCTAAATGTCACTAGTTAGGATGATAAAAAATTCAATTTAAAGGATTGATTTTCCAATAAGATATGACTAAATAGTATACAAGAAAGTTAAGTCAATTAACAAGGGATGGTCTAACCTAGGGTGATTCTAATGATTAGTTATATCGGTTGACTTTAAGGAAGAATTAGGTGAGGAGATAGGAAGAGAGTTGATTGAGGCAAACTAAAGAGAGAAAGAAGAATTTCTCTTGATGATCTTCCAATCACCACAAGAGGGGAAATAAGATAGAAAAAAAATGGCGGCAAAGTGTTATGGTGGATTGAATATGGATAAAATTAAGATCACTACTCTACTCCTACTCTTTCTTGATCTCGCCTCTATCTTCTCTATCTTAATCTGTTGCTCAAACTTGAGGATTCAAGTGATCCAAATATGATTAGGAGATAAGATAAAGACCTAGTAACTACTGTAAAGATGGCTTAACTTCCTAGATCAATTATGTGTCACTCACAAGATCAATAATAAGATAAACTATATCACTTCTATTCTAAGTCTAATATCTCTTTCTTTGACTTTACTGTGATTTTGTGCTCAATGTTGATGAATCAAGGGATCAAACAAGAGTCTAGGGTTCAATAGATGAGGGCAATCCTATGTAGTCTCCTCTCAAGTGATGGTGAGCGGGACCCGTCTCCATCAGCTCAAGAGACACTGGTAGTCCGAGTTCAAATCGATCGACACGCGAAGACGAAGGAGCCTGGCTTTCGCTACACGGCCTAGCCCTTTGGGACAACGACATTCCACCTCCGTGATGACGACGAGCTCGAGCTCACTTGTATCTTTTTTTGTACTTTCACCTTGACTTGTTGGGCCTCATGTTTGTGTGTTAGTAGGCCCAATTCTATGTGTGTGTGTTATTATTTGTCTCCTTTTCTTTAGGGTTTTATTGGGTCTCTCTTTGAGGCCCAATTAAAATCCTAGGGGGGGGGACTTATGTGTCTTTCTTTTTGGGCCTCTTTTGGGGCTTATTTGGGTCTTCATTTGAGGCCCACTTAAGCACCGTAAGAGGGCCCTCCTATTTCTCCTTTTAGGGGAGCTTATTGGGTCTCTCTTTAAGAGGCCCAATAAGCCCTTTTTGTAGCCTTTGTGGCTTATGGGCTTGAGGGCCTCAAGTGGGCCCACCACCCCTTAGCCCACTTGTGGGCCCCCATATAAGGGGAGGTAGGACACCCCCCCTCAAAGAGCGCCGTATTTTTAAGAGAAATTATCGTTGTGAGTTATCTTCCTCGTGACCTAGAATAGGGAGGGGAGGAGGAAGAGGAAGGCCGTCGATACCCCCTTCGAGGACTTCGTTCCTCGTGACGCTGCTGCCCGAGAAGTCCCGCTGCCGCCTGAGACCACTGCCGCCGCCGGCCATCTCATTGCTGCCCGGGAGCTCGCCGCCGTCACCGGACGAAACGGTCGCGGTTGCCACTGCAGCCACCGCCGCCTCTGCTGGAACCCCGTCACGCCGTTGTGACGAAAGGGGCTCGCTTCGCCTCCCTACGAGCCGTCGCCGAGCACTCCACCGGATTCTCTTGACTCCCGGTTCGACTGCCGCCTCTTCCTCCGGAACTCCACCATAAACTCGCCGGAGCCGCCCTCCGCCGCTCCGCCAAGTCGCTGGCCGTTCGCCGACGAACGCCGACCTACCGCCGACGTTGAAAGAGACCCTGCAGCCGTGCCGACGAGCCAGAACCAGTCCAAGCTCCGCACAGGCCCCCGCCGGAGTTTCCCGACACTCCGCCGCCGTCGCGCCGTTTCCGGCGCCGCCTAGACCAGGAGAGCTCAACCCTCCCTGGTATCATCGGCCGGATCGTCTCCTCTCTGCTCCGCTTCCCGGCGCCGCCAGAGAGGCCGATCCTTCCGGCGACGGTTGGGTTTCCGCCCCAACCGCCGATGCTCGGCCTACCCGCCGAAGCGCCGCTGACGCTCGGCCTTCCCGCCGAAGCGCCGCAGACGCTCCGCCTTCCCGCCGAAGCGCCGCAGACGCTCGGCCTTCCCGCCGAAGCGCCGTAGACGCTCGGCCTTCCCGCCGAAGCACTGCCGCCGCGCGCGCCGGCTCTTGTGTGCCCTAAGGCCTCAGCGCGGCTCTAGCGTGCCCTTCGGCTCACCAGCGGGCCCACACCCACGCCGACTGTGCCACGCCCTAAGACGACGACTTTCGTGACTCTCGACCAGGACCGACCGTCGATGCTGAGCATCGCTCTTCACCGGACGTTCCTGCCTTTGTCAGATCTCCGCTCCGTCACGACCCGCCGGGCTACGCAGCCCTGAAGGTTAGCTCTGTACCCCTTCTTACTTAAGTTTAATTATCTTTCGAAGGGTTTTCTCAGCTCGTCTCTACCGCCTTCAGGAGCACGTAGACAGGATAGGATAGGTTATCGGATCGTGACTTCCGACGCTGCGCCAGACTCGCCAGACTCGGATCAGTATATTGTTGAGCAAATAAGCTCTGATACCATGTAAAGAGAGAAGATAGGGAGAACAGATGACAGAGATTACATGAATGAGAGGAAATAAAATAAACCACTTGATTTGATGGTTTCCAGGGGTGTTAGGGGTTTCATTTTATAGAAGCCTCGGAGGTTCATAGGGATGAAACGTAACACTTAAATGGACTATCCATTTTCGTCAGAAATGCTTCACAAAGAACTATTTGAAATTGTCACTGTGAGCCACTTTTCTATGAGAACGAGTCCACAAAGAGAATTTTTCAAATGGAGGGTCTTGGGTTTCTTTTACAATCAAAAGAGTTGTGCTCCCAAATTTTACAATTACAGTTTATTTCAAAAATATTAGGGGTAGAAAGATGAGATCGCTAAGGGAATGGCTCACAAACTAGCGAGGCTCAAACGTGGTTATGCCTGAGTTGATGGGCGACATGTCATTGACTGGGTTCAAAGGGATGGAGGGCCCACCCATTGGAGTGCTGGCCACTTCTGGTTCCCCATTGGTGACTGTGCTCATGTAAGAGAAGCCTGAAAGAGGGGATACAGCCGGGATAGATGTTGAGTAGCTACTGAGCATCAAGACCACCAATGACATACTGGGACGCTCCAGTGGGTCATGTTGGATACAAAGTAGTCCAATGTGGATGTGCCTCAACACTTCTTCAGCTGAACAACCATCAGCTATGCCTTCGTCGAGCACTTGTACTGGGTTCCCTTCTTCCCAATGCCGCCAAATCTATAGAAATATTCCAGATAAGGTAAAATTATGGAGAAGCTAATGATAAAGGAGCATCAAAGTAGATAACCAGAATGTAGATATAAAAGGTTATGCTGATTCTTACATAGCTTATAAGGTCAGTTGGAGGATTAGAGCCATAGTAGCCGGCACATCTTTTACCCGTCACTATTTCCAAAAGTAGGACGCCAAAGCTGTACACATCTGATTTTGTAGAGATTTGCCCATGCATCACATACTCTGGTGCCATGTAGCCACTTTCACCAGTAGATAATGTGTGTCAAGTTTTCGGATGATAGATAGTAATCAAATTTACATTGATCGCGATCTTTTACAAAGATAATACAATTGTGAAAAGTTGGTTTAAATCTACATCCGTAAATGTACTGCCAGTGAGTATGAAGTAATGAAAGATTCCTACATGGATACATATAGAAGTGATTGTCTTATACAGATAATGCTACTCGTCTTTACCACACTTTGCAGACACCCTTCTTTTCTTTCTGTTTCATGGGTACCACAACCAAGGAAAGCTTCCTCTGATATCTAACTAATCTAGTATACATTCCGACTTGAGCTCATTTTCTAGACTCATCTCTTCTAGTTGTGGACTTCACTTGGGTTCACTCTATTGACAATATGTATATATATACACACGCACACACACACACACACACACATACATAACACCCACACAAATACAAAATTATGAAACCATTAAACTTGTAACAAAAATGTTGAATTACAGCGAAGTTGGTGCATCGGTCGTGCAGACTTACTATGTTCCGGCAATTCGGTTTGTGTTTCCATAGCTTTGTTCATTTCCAAATAACCTTGCAAGGCCGAAATCAGCAATCTTCGGATTCATCCCTTCATCCAACAATATGTTGCTTTAACATCTAATTAAAGTCCAGATGAATGGTCTGGCTGAGACGAAGGGCCATCGAAGGCGCGAAATTAATATTTTCATATTAACGGTCATATTCTTCGACATAGCCCGCCACGGAACCGAGCCCTCCGAGTGGCCCCCCACACGGTTCTCTTGAAATCTTTTGCGACCGCCGCGCGGTGTATCGTTGAATCTCGTTGAATCGTCGTATTTTAAGGTTGCTGGTAGTATTGTTTGACTTAGTCCTTTGTGGAATTGAGCCACGCCTACACGGCTCCTGTTGACTTTGACCTAGATCTTTAGTAGCCAGCTAATCGTCTCTTAGTCGTCGTCATCAAGTTACCGTAGTGAGTTCAGGTCGATCCGCACACAAAGAAGATAACAAACCTGATGATAATTTCTTTCGTTCTCCAAACAAATTTAAGTCTAAATAAAAATAAAAATAATGAAACGAACTGCTGAGAGAGAGTGAGAGTAGAAAACATATTCTGGGCATTATCGGCCACAGTTAATATGATTAATTATTGATTCTTTCTGCTCTCGATCCTAAGTCTACAAGAAAACTTAAAAAGAAAGAGAGGGAGGGAGAGAGAGAGAGATTATATTAATCAAACCTACACGTGCTCTTGGACAGCAACGACTCAATTATATTTATCTCAATTAAAAATGACACAACAGATGAGAAGGGTTGAAAATTTTACCACCATTAAATAATTATGAAAAATGATATTTATCTCAATTAAAAATGACACAAGAGATTGAGAAGGGTTGAAAATTTTACCACCATTAAATAGTTTTCAATAAACTAAATCTCTTCCCTGGAAAAATAATTTAGTAACATTTAGTAACCACCATCGTTACCAGCATTCTTGTAATTACATCAGCTTTCTTTGAAAATGAAGTTGCCAAACATATCCAAGATTAACTTGTAATTACCTATAACTTTACTTATATGCCACTAATAGTACTCATGGTACCAACAACAAAAGAGACCCTACATATTGCTGATATTTTTAATTTGTGTACTGATAACTCTCATTAATTACAAGATAAAATGCTTAATATTTTATTATTTAATTTTAAATAAGTATTTTAAAATTACTTTAATCTAGAAAAACTGATATTAAACTTATTTATATGATTATATAGTTATTTTCTAGAAATTACATGATGAAATTGACCATGAAATATTTTGATAGGTTTTAACAATGAATAATATTATTATCAAAATACTTCTATGTTAATTACATTTATTTCTAAAATTTTCTTGACTTTTCCTAAGCTTATTAGAATAAATAATATTAATAATACAATTAAATTAAAATATGAGATTAATTTCTTTTTATAGGTTTGCCTCATCAATGGATGTAACAAATACAATGTGAAGTATGGCAGATGATTCGACGAAATCAATGGAACTAACACACAAGAAGGAAACACTAGGGGAGGAAGAATGGGGCATCTTCGATCAATCTATTGCTCCTCACAACTATTTTCTCTCTCCTTTGATGGTGACGGATGTTGGATTCACCCAAATCATCCATCCAATACAAAGGATGGATTTCGTCTCAATTTATCCTTGATTCAGCCACTAAAGAAGCTGAACTTCATCCACAAACTTATCCCCTTCTTTACTCGATACAAAAAGCAAAGAATTTCTTCT